GGGATTTGTGGGACTTAACCATTCACTCCTTGGTATAACTTTTTGTTGATTTAGACTGTTTTCTCTCCCTCCCTCCCTTCCTTTCTTTCTTTTCTTTCTTTTCTTTTTTTTGGTCAGAGGCTCACTCTGTTGCCCAGGCTGGACTTCGGTGTTGTGATCATGACTCACTGCAGCCTTGACCTCCTGGGCTCAGGTGATCCTTCCGCCTCAGACTCTTGAGTAACTGGGACTATAGGCACATGGCACCATGTGCAACTAATTTTTTAAAATTTTTTTGTGGAAATGAGGTCTTGTTGTATTGCCCAAGCTGGTCTAGAACTCCTGGGCTCAAGCGATCCTCCAACTTTGGCCTCCCAAAATGCTGAGATTATAGGTGTGAACCACCATGTCTGGCCCTCTGTTCTTTTCTTTTTTTTTTTTTGAGTTGGAGTCTCACTCTGTTCCAAAGACTGGAGTGCAGTGGCCACTCCTGGCCACCGCAGCCTCGACCTGCTGAGCTCTAGCGATCCTTCCACCTCAGCCTTCCAAGTAGCCGGAATTACAGGCATGCGCTACCACGCCCGGCTAATTTTTTGATTTATTGTAAAGATGAGGTCTTGCTGCCCAGGCAGGTCTCAAGCCCACGGGCTCAGGCAGTCCACTCACCTCAGCCTCCCAAAGGCGCAGGATTACAGGCTGAGCCACTGAGCCCGGCTTTGTTCTTTTCTTTTAAGAGACAGGGTCTCACTCTGTTGCTCTGGCTGCTACATAACTCACCCAGCCTCAAACTTCTGGGCTCCATTGATCCTTCCATCTCAGCCTCCCGAGTAGCAAGGTCTAAATATTTTAGACTTTGTGGGCCATATGTCATGACTACTCAACTTTGCTGTCTTTCAACTCTGTTGTTGTCATGCAAAAAGAGAGTGTGGTGTATGCCAGTAAAACTCTATCTACAAAAATAGGCGGTGGGCCATGGTTTCTTTACCTCTAGTCTTCTGGCTGTTCATCCTGACTGTTCTCAACTTATCTTCCTTCCCTGATAAATGTGTATTCCTCCAGTGTCTTTTGCCACCTTTCATTTCACCCTTCTTGAGTAGCCTTGGTCACAAATCTTACTTTAACTATCTCAGGTGTCTGGAAGCAGTTTTGAGGTGGGTTTTGGCTTTCCCTGTTACCAGCTGTGTGACCATGGGCAAGTTCCTTAATGTGGCTTAGTGCTGTAAAGTAGTGTTAATGATAACCTGTGTGCAGTTGTAAGCACAGTACTACATATAAAGAGTCCAGCATTAAGACTGACAAACGATGCATGACTGATGAGTGGTAGCTCCAGTGGTTTCTGCTATTGTCCTCACACATGTTGACTCACATCTGGATCTGGATTCCAGAAATTTTTTTCGAGTTCCAGTTTTTACTACATACCTCTGTTGGGTGTTTTTACTTAGCTGTTCTATAGTGTCAGTTAAGAAGCATTCAGCTGCAAGTCTGAATCTTCTTACATAACAAGCAGTTTGGAAGCGGGACATTAGAGCTCAGGGATGTCGGGACATCTTCATGAATCTCTTCTCTTCCCCATCACAGTTGCAAAATATTGCATAGCCTCAAGCATCCACATTTGTATCTAAAACAGCAAAAAAGGGGACAGAAGAAGGGGCTTGGTGTATTTTTTCTTTGTATTATAAAAATTTTCATTTAAAAAGAGTTAATTAGGAAATAGAATCTGTAAGACTTTAACATGTTTAAGGTGGGAGAAACTTGATAAAAGAGGAGGATGATTGCTAGCTTTTTGACTTAAATGTCTAGACTCTAGGTGGATGGTGGTGCCATTAATGTGAGAAAAGAATAAAGTTTATAAAATAAGATAACTTACATGTTAGACCTGTTGAACAGAGGTACCTGACGGCAGGTGGACTGCCTACCCAACTGCTATTGCTCCTCCTAGAACAGCTTGGGGCATAATTCATATACCATAAAGTTTACCCTTTCCAAGTAGACAACTCTGTGTTTTTTAGTGCATTCACAGAGCGAGCTATGCAGCCATAACCACAATAGATTGCAGAACATATTCATCACCCCCAAAAGAAAACCCCATACCCATTAGCAGTCATTTCCTCCTCCTCTGTACGCTGGCAGCCATTACTGTTTTCTGCCTCTGTGAATTTGCCTGTTCTGATTACCTCTTCTATTCATCATCCTTTCCCTGTCTTCCTTTCTGATTCGCTTTTAGAAAGGACTGTCAGTCATGCACAATGACTAGTTTTCTAGCCATGACTCATCCCTTTCTGCCAATCTAGTACCTGAAATAATTAATTTGTACCACACAGTAGCTTTATTGATATCTGGGTGAATTAATAAATTAATTCATTGACAGCTATGAGTTTGGATAGTGTTTTGGGTAACCAGGATTAAGAACCACAGGTTAAGAGTATTTCTTTCAGCTCTTACAGCTGGCTTAGAAAGGTTTCTGCTTAGTGTCTCTTTACCTTTTCAACCTCACTGCTTGCCATTCTCTGGCTTATGTTTGTTGCTCCAGCAGCATTGAACCCACTCATGGTTTTTCCTAAGTGCTGTGAGGTTTTTCTTACTTCTTTCTCGTACTCATTGGTCTCCCTATTTAGATTCCCCTCAGTGCTTTCCAGTTGCCCCATTCCTGTTCACTTCTTTAGACTCAGTCAGGGAATCAAACATTTAAATCCACCCCCAAAGGCCCTCTACAGAGCCCTCTGTTGTTCTTACCACATTGTGTTATATAAAATATCTATGTATTTTATTTCTCTAGACCAACGATTTCTGAACTTTTTATTGCTCACCTGTGAGAAACGCTTGAGCATATACCTATAAAGTTATTTATAAATTATGTGCATGTACTAGTGTAGTATTAAATATTAATAAAGCTTTTGATAACAAAATATACAAATGTAAGGCCTAATGTTTTCATCCTGTGCCGTACTTTATAACCAGTGATGACTATGGGTTCCTTGATGGCAGGAACTCAATAAATGTTGATCTGAGCTCTTTTCTCAATGTCTTGCCTGATCTTTATCCACCTCTCATTGGTTGTTAGGTCTTCCTTTTCTTTTTATATCTTTATCATAACTTTTCTCATACTGTATATTATAATAATTGGCAAATGCTTGTCTTCTTGTCTTCTTTCAGTCTTCTTTCAGTAGCTTGTCTTCTTTCTCATGTCTCTTGAGCATGAGTACTCTTTCTGATGCTCCCAGTAGCTTGTGCAATGCCTGGCTAGCATGTAGTTGATGATTGTTTGTAGGATGAATAAACTGAATTGAATTGATTAAGTGGAATGAGTTGATATTAATCTGAAAATAATTAAGACAGTGATTCTTTTATAGTATTTATTTGAAAGATAGCAGGGTCTTTTATTTTTAGAATGCTTATGGTTTAATGCAGTGCATTTCAAATTATTTGTGATGGTAGACCAGTTTCTTTCTAGTTTCCAATCCATTATGTACTGATGGTTTTGTAAAATATAATAAAAAACTAGAAAAATGATATAGAAAGGGATACAAAATATAAGTCCCAATTTTTTGTTATGAGATTCGGCAGACATAAAGTAGCTCTCAATTTCTGTGCTTATCTCATGGACTGGTAACAGTCTGTGGACCTTTGCTGGTCCGTGTACCATACTTTTGAGACTCATGATATAAAGTATCATGATATAAAGCACTTTATGTCATTCAGTTCTCTTAACTGTGTGGGGTAGATACCGTTGGCACAGAGAAGCTAAGTAAATTGTCCAAGTTCACATAGCTTTTATGCAAAACAGTCAGGATTCAAACCCAGGTAGTCTAGTCTGACTCCAAAGTTCATGTGCTAGTCCACTTATTTCAAAAAGATGAAATATGGTTGTAGTCTAGCTTAAGAATGGTAAGAACAGATATGGATGTGGGCAAAGGCAGTTACAAGTCAGAATGTAATTCATTTGCCTAGAGAAGAGAAGGTTAAGGGGTCACATAATGATTTGCGTACACAAGTAGAGTTATGGAGGATGGTGGCCAACTTTCGCTCTTTAGCTCTTTCATAAGTCAGCATCTGCTTACATTTGACTTTAGTTAGTATTAAAATCCCTGATTTGCAAAACAGGAGTATTTCTTGAAATGTGTCTTTTTGCCACAATTTTACATACTGAGTATAGTTGTCCCTGAGGGGGATTCATTTCAGGACCCCTGTGGATACCAAAATCTGAGGATGCGAAGTCCCTGATATAAGGTGACATAGTATTTGCACGTAACTTATGCACATTCTCCAGTGTACTTTAAATTATCTCTATATAATACAATGTAAATGCTATATAAATAGTTGTTATACTGTATTTCTTAATGTGTATTGTTTTTAGTGTTGTAATTGTTACTTGTTCATTTGTTTATTTGAACATTTTCCACCCACAGTTGGTTGAATTTGTGGATGCAGGACTCTTGGATACAGAGGGCCAACTGTATTTTGTTTCTCCTACTTTTCCTTTCACCTCTTTTCTTATTTGGTAGCATAATCAACCAAAGTGTTAGGATTATACTCATAAAAACAGAAATAGCCTATAGGTTATTTCTATAAGTATCCATATTTTAAGAACAAAATGTGGCCAGGCACAATGACTCATTCCTGTGATCCCAGCACTATGGGAGGCCAAGGCAAGAGGATTGCTTGAGCCCAGAAGTTTGAGATCAGCCTGGGCAACATAGCACAACCTTGTCTCTCCAAACAATAAACAAATTAGCTGGGTGTTAGAGGCTGAGGCAGAAGGATTGCCTGAGCCCAAGAGGTCAAGGCTGTGATGAGCTGTCATTGTGCCACTGCACTCCAGCCTGGGAGTGAACTGAATGAGACCCCAACTTCACCCCCAACCCCCCAAAAATGGATCAAAACGTAAATAATGATCATACATGATGATGTTAATAAAATAGAGGATCATATTTCTGTCTTGTTTTATATCATGAAATTAGAAACAATATTTCAATTTCAACAATAGTAATTTTAATAAAATTTAAAAAATTTTCTTTCTGTAGAAATCTGGTTAAGAAGTACTGTCCCAAACGTTCATCCAAAGATGAAGAGCCAAGGTAAATTATAGACCTGTTTATTTTTGCATATTACAATATTTTAAAATACTTATTATTTAGTAAAATAAATACACCATTTGCTTTTTAATAAAGATTTTTTAAAATTTATTTTAATTTTAAAAATCACTGTTTATGAAAGAGGGAATTACTGTTTATCTTTTACAAGGATAAATACTTTAGTAGGTTTAATCAATAGTGTTCTAGAATAATTAAAGTGTGAATTTCCAAGTAAGTGTAGACTAATACTCCACTTGAGTGATTTAGTCTAGAGAAGAAAAGGGTATTTTTCGTATTTTATTTTGTAGTTGTCAGCTATTAGATTTTTGCTTTTACTCTTACAGGTAGTAAAACAATTTGGCTGGTTGGTTTAAATGGATCATGAAAAGGACTGAGATTTTTTAGGGTAATTTTTGAACCCTGAATAAAAGGTTGGAAATTGCCTATGAGCTTTTGGCAACTGTAAACAGGAATACATGGATGACTGTAAAAGGCAGAATCACAAACTGACTAGACTTAAACAAATGAACAAGGAACTTTGTAATTGTTAGTGGCTCAGGTTCTCAGGCTTAGTGTTAATGCAGTCCTATATCTGAGCTGTCAGTCTCCAGCTGTAGGAGTGTCCAAGTGTGTTCATAGTAGATATGTACATTTTAATACAGTGATTCTCTTTGTTTCTCTCCTTCCCTCCACACACATTTTTACCCTTATTTTTGACCCTTCTACCCCCCTTGGTGCCAACCATAATGGTGCTTCACTTCCATTCAGCATGTGGGCAGGCATACAGGCAGCTGTGTCCAGAGCTGATAGCAAAGTTGTTCTGTAGATCAGCCATCGAGATGCATGTGAGTGGTATGATTGGCAGGTTCTGTCCTCGAGAGCAAGCACTTCATCTCTGCAACAGGTTCAGCTGCCAAGCCTAGGAATCCAACCAAGTTCATTCCCAAGCTCAGGCCAGTCATTTGGCAACTTGAGCGATTCCAGTATGCCAAAAGAGCCTGCAGGTAGTATTTTTATTACTTTTTGATTCCAAATACCCTTTACTAATAAAGTAGACTACTTGAAGATTTGCAAACGTGTACAACTTGAGATAAATGAAACATTCTTTTCATGTGAAAGATAATTTAGAACTAGTAGCTGAGATTTAGGTTGAGTATGTTAAAATTGTCAAGTGTTAGGCTCAATCCATACCTCACTGAAAATATTCATAATGAAAATAAAAATGTCTCACCATTTTAAAATGTGTTTTTGCCAGGTTTACCTCGTGTATAGCCTTTTTTAACATCCTTAATGAGTTAAATGACTATGCAGGACAGCGGGAAGTAGTAGCCGAAGAGATGGCACACAGAGTATATGGTGAATTGATGAGATATGCTCATGACCTGAAAACAGAGAGAAAAATGGTAATTCTTATCATTTTTATCCAGTTTACAGTAGTACAGAAATACTTTCACAGAAAGTTACTTTGTTTAAAAAAAAAATGTGTGTTCACTGTTTCACTGAATTTCTTCTAGCTGAAAATCACTACAAGATACTCTTGCTAATTTATGATCTTTTTGAATTTAAGACCAGGGTTTGGCAAACTACAGCTTGTGGGCCAAACCCAACTTACTGCCTGTTTTTGTTTTCTAGTTTCCACAGCTAAGAATGGTTTTTCCATTTTTAGATGGTTGAAAAAAATCAAAAGAATATTTCATGACATGTTATAGTTACATGAAATTTACCTTTTAGTATCTGTAAATAAGGTTTTAACTGCAACAGACCCATACTCACCAAACTCACTGATGTACATACTGCCTGTGGCTGGTTTTGAGTTGACAGAGACAGCGTGGCTTGCAAAGCCTGAAATAGTTATCAGCTGACTCTTTATGGAAAATATCTATCAACCCCTATTCAAGATAATCATTATTTTTCTAGACAGCATTTCTGTTTTAATGGTTATATTTAAAGAATTAAAATAATGTTCTATAAAATACATTTTGGAGAGTTTTGCTTTACTTTCTTTAGAGTATTGAGAAAGTTGTATACTTAGTACCTTGAAAAAAAGAAAGTAAAAAGCCTTTTTGGTACTTTAGACTTTATTTAGTGTTTAAATGTAATTATTTTTGTTTGTTTTGTTTTATTCTATTTTTTGGTGGTGATTATAATCTTTAGCATCTCCAAGAAGGACGGAAAGCTCAACAATACCTTGACATGTGCTGGAAGCAGATGGATAATGTGAGTTACGATGTTTTCAGGGTTAGCATAGCATTTTGTGGACTCCCTACATTCAGTTATGCTTTACATCTATTTGAGCTTAATGTTTCTGAATGTATTATTCATAATTTGACATTGGTTTTGTTGCCTAAGGTCAATAAAGTGCAGATGGGAGAGGTGAGGTCATTTTGTCAATTTTCTTTTTATTGTGTATAATTCTATATTAACACAGACTCTGCTGTCCTCACATCTTTGTGAACATCTAGGGAGATTCCTTTTGACTTTACAGTAGTTATCTGTAAAGTATTAATAGAGGGTAGAAGACTATTTGAGACTGAGAGAACCGGGATTCTCTTTCTACCTTTCTCTTAGCACATGGTTTCTCTTTACTTCACTATTAGCATATGAAAAATGAAGAGAGTGGGCCAGATTATATGAAATGTTTCTTCCAGTTCAGTAATTCTATAGCATTGTAAATGCTCCTGATATTGGCCTGCTAGTCAGCGACCATCCCACTGTAGGAAATAAAATACTCTGTGGTGCAAAATTTTAAAAGCACAATAATTATTTACTTAAAAATTTTTCCTAAGGTTATTGCTAATGTGGTTTTTCTTAAATGGTCTGGTATACGTTAATTTGAAAAACAAGATGTCTGTATGGAACACTGCGGTCACTTTTACTTGTGTTGCTCTATAATGTACCATGGGATGAATTTAAAAAAAAAAAAGAAAGAAAAAGAAATGCTCTATTAGATGATGTTCTGTAGTATGAGATACTAGTTTTGAACCCTCAGGTTATCAAGTAGTTTCCTCTTCACCAGCATATTTCTTTTGTGGATACTGTGTTCCTTGGAAATTATGCAGAAGGGAGTTTCTCGTGTTAAATTAATCAAGTTAATATGAGGTTGTTACAAAAAAGGACTTTGAGATTAAAAATCTCATGCATATTTCACTATTTTCAGCCTGTTTTCTTTCCCTTTCAAAAAAATAATCAAAGCTTAGATTAAATTTCTACTGTATAAATGCCATTGATGTCAGTTCTAATCACCAGTGCTGGTTAAGAATTCTTAGGCTGTTTTCTTCCTTTTTTTTTTTTTTTTAAGTGGGGGGGAGTCTCACTCTGTTGCCCAGGCAGCTTCAAATTCCTGGGCTCAAGCAATCCTCCCACCTCAGCCTCCAGTGTAACTGGGACTACAGGCATGCACCACCACGCCCGCCTTTTTTTTGGTAGAGCCAAGATCTCGCTATGTTGTCTAGGCTGGTCTCAAACTCCTGGGCTTAAGCAATCCTGACCTCCCAAAGTTCTGGGATTACAGGTGTGAGCCACTACTCCTGGCCTGTTTTCATTTTTGTTTTGATTTTCTTTCTAATTGGTTTCACAATACTTTTAGGGAGTATTTATGTTAATTAAATTTTAAATTGCCTTAACTAGCATTCTTAGACACCTAATGAGTGTGTATATATGTATTTGTTTTCATTTGCACAAAATAAAAGACTCCTACACTCATGAGTCATTGATTCCTTTAAAAATTGTTGCTGGCACAACTCATTCTTGTTAATATGTACCAACTTGCCTGTAGAAGAATTGACAGTTTCTAAGCAAAAGTTACAGAGGTCATAAGTAAGAAAGAGGCATCAAAAACGTAGAGAGATTTCTTTATGGTATTAGCAATACTATGCACAAAAGGCGAGTTAAACTCTTTCGTGTTTAGTGAGAGGATCTTTGACCTGGTTCCTGTTTTTATAGATCCTACAGTCTGGTGAAGGGAGATGACAAAAATAATTTCTATTTAATATGTAGAAACAAGTGTAGGATTCTGTTTCCTTGTTCCATGTCTTTCTGTTCAGTCAGGAAAATGAAACTAGAATTCTTAACATGTTTTAAATAACCGAGAGGTGATATACAGAATGGTGGGATCAGATTGAATTAGAGTATTAAAAATAAGGGAAAAAAATGTAAAGATAGTTATTAACCTCAGGCCAAACAAAATAGGTATAACTGGGATTTAAGATTATGGCAGAAGAGCCTATGAAGGAGGTCTTGAACGAATGGTCGGAGATTCATGTTGAAGCATCAGATGCTGGGCCCATCAGTCAGGAGGTGACAAGTAACAGAGCATTCAAGGGGGGACCCCAAAAACCCAGAATTATTGTTTGGAGAGTGGGCTCTTTGTAGTACACCTGGAGTGTGTTCCTCCAGATCAAATGGTCAACCAAAGTTTTTATCTGGAAGTTTTAAGATGGTTGCAATTTGTGGAAGAAACATCCTGAGTTGTGGCATACAGGTGACTGGGTCTTTCACCATCACAATGCACCTGCCACACCACATGAGTGTGTGTGTGTTTTTTTTTTTTTTTTACCAAAAACGGCATAATCTTCATGCCTCACTCTCTCTAGTCACCTGATCTCACCCCCAGTGACTTTTTTTTATTTCTCCAAATGAAAATGTCCTCAAAGGGAAACATTTTGCCCGTGTGGAAAAGGTGGAACAAAAAACTGCAGAAGCACTAAAAGGCGTCAAAATTGACAAATTCAAAAACTGTTTTGAGCAGTGGAGAAAGCATCTCAATGGGTGTATTGCATTAAATGGAGTGTACTTTGAAGGTGACTGAATTTGAAACATGTAAGAATGAGTACATAATTTTTATAAATAAACTCCGGATTTTAGGATCTCCCCCATGTACACATTGAGAAGAACAGAGCTCAGAAATGGAGCCATCCCAGGACTGTCAGTCGCTCAGTGATGTCACCCAGGCTGCATCCCCTTCCCACCAGCTACTTTGCCATCTTGACCATGTCAACTTTCTTCCTCAGCCTGTTGCCTTCTGGTCAGCAGTTAGCTTAAGCTGCCAAACACCAGGTCCTCCCTCATTCAGCTGCATCCAAAGGCATGAAAAAGGGAGCATTGCTCTGCCAACTGTCTCTCGTTATCAGGAAAGGAAAACTTTCCTGGAAATCCCCAGCAGATTTATCTCCTTGGCTGATATCACTTGCCTCTGCTCAGCTGTGGGGAGTCTGGGGAAGCAAGCTGTTTGCAGCCTCTGTGCCAGGAGGCAGGTTCTGCTAATCAAGGTGAGGGAGCAGAAGTGGCTGTTACTAGTCTGCCATACAAAGGGTGAAGAAAAAAACTCATCTTTTCTGGAGTATACGCCTATACCATGCAAGGATATATTACCATTATATATCACAAGAAGGAGTGTTGTTAATATTATTGTCCTAGTAGTTCTTTTGCTCTTTCAAGGAAATTATTAGGTAGATGTTTTTCCACAAATAAAACACCTAATATAAAATACTTTTGTATATAAATAGACTCAGTTTGCACCAAAATTAGTAACCTGTAGCTACTCAGTTTGAAAACACAGGTCTGAACTGAGTTTCAGAGAATTAAGTGGAAATTTAATTTTAATTTTCATGGAAAAGTGACATTCTGTATGTTATGTGTATTCAGATATTTTATGTGCTTTGAATAAATTTTATTTCATTTGGTGTCTCATTAATCAAAATGCCTATACTAAGTAAAACCTATATTTAAAGAAATGTAAACATTTCAGAGCATATTTATAAGTTATTGGTATTTCTGGTTCTAACTATATGTCAAACTGAATTAATCTAGAAACATTTTGGCTACAAATACCTTGATATAATAGCTATTGTATTTTTTTTTTTTTTACTGTATTTAAAATTTTCAGCTATCTGAAAGACAGGGACATTATTAACTGCTAGGAACGAAGGGTAGACTGAGCCAGAGCAATAGGTATATGAGCTAATGCAGTGGCATTTGGAAAGATAGGGCAGGGATGTTGAAGTATGGTGGCATCCTGGGCCTGGTACTTGCTGAGGGGTTGGGTTTTGCTACCCACACAGGGACAGAAATTTGGATGTTCATATGTTGTAGGGACTTGGAACTGAGACCCTTGTATACAGTTTAACCTCTGGAGGACTAAACCTGTAGTGAAAAAGGTGGACTATAAGAATTATGTCTACTGGCCAAGAGAGAGATCAGAGAAAGTGTTCTCTTTCTGAAGGTCAAAGGAGGAGAGGTATCCCATGAGAAATTTAAATCCTTTGATCTTGTCATGAGGTTTGGGATCCAAATTTGTACTCTTTTTATGTCTTTGTAATCCCCAAGACAAGAAACTGACATTGTAACTGGTTCAAAAAAGAAGGTTATAAATACAGTGTTGAGAACCCCTGCTTTCTTCTTCTCAGCCGTTCTCAGAATACAGATTACAAGACATGCATTTAATAGGCATGATGTTGGAAGAGTTTTCTCTGGGGAATCTAATCAGCTAGAGCGGGGGAAAAAAAAGTTACTAATACTAGGGCCTTACCTGGCCATATCACCCAGAGGTTATAATCCACAAGCTGCATCTGTGGGGCTTTCAGTGGCTCTTAAAGTGAGAGCAGATAGCCAAGAATCCAAGATACTTAAAGAAAACAGCTGAATGTGCACATCAGCTACCAAAACTAATATGCAGGAAAATAAGCAACCCAGAAGAAACAGTAACTGTGAAAGGAAATGAAAATTAGAAAGCAAAAACAAGCAAGCAAAATTCCCAAAGTTGTTATTAATGTTCTCAAAGGGGATAGAGGAAAATAGTACATCCATAAAATAGAAATGAGGTATTATTATTGTTATTTTCTTTTTCTGAGTCGGAGTCTCCTACAGGTGTGCACTACCACACCCGGCTAATATTTGATTTATTGTAGAGACAAGGTCTTGCCAAGTTGCCCGGGCTGATCTTGAACCCGCAGGCTAAAGCAATCCACTTGCCTTGGCCTCCCAAAGTGCTGGAATTATAGGCTGAGCCACCGAGCCTGGCCCGAAATGAGGTTTTATTAAAACAAAGAATGTATAAAGAACAAAAAAGAACTTTATGATAGCAGAAATGAAAAACCACTAGAAAAAAAGGAAAGATAAAATTGAAGAAATGTCTCAGAAAGTAGAGCAAAGTGACAGAAATTGAAAATATGAAAGAAAATATAAGAAAATTAGAGGACTCTTCTAGAATGTTCATTTTCAAAATAATAAACCAAAGGGAAAACGTAGGAAATGAACAAAAATAAAGTTTCCTTAGAACTGAAAGGCACGAGCTTCTAGATGGAAGAGATTTTCCTGGTGGATCCACATCAAAACATATCTGCTTGAAATTTCAGAACACTTGGGGGAGAGAGAAGATTCTACCAGCCTCCAGAAAGACAAAGCAAAATAACAAGCATGCTTTATACATTGGATCAGGAATCAGAATGGGCTGGCACAGGGTAGTCATGCAGGAAGCCAAGAGATGTTGGAGTGATACTTCTAAAATTTTGAAAGAAAATCATTTTCAACTTAGAGTTCTAATTTAAGGCCAAATTTATCAATTAGAAATGATGGTAAAGGCATTTTTAGCTATGGACACTCAAAAACTTACCTTCTGCAAACCTTTTAGAAAGCTACTGACAAAAGTGTTCTAGTACAACGAGGAAGTAAATCAGGAAGGGAGAAGCAGGAAACTGGGAAATAGGCAATCCAGATGGAGAGGTGAGACAGGATTTTACTCTGTAGCCCAGGCTGCAGTGCAGTGGCATGATCATGGCTCACTATAGCCTCAAACTCCTGGGCTGAAGTGATCTTCCTGCATCAGCTCCCCAAGTAGCTGGGACTATAGGTGTGCACCACTACACATGAATACTTTCTTTATTTTTTGTAGAGAGAAGGTCTCACTTTGTTGCCCAGCTGATCTTGAACTCCTGGCCTCAAGCTATCCTCTCAGCTCAGCCTCCCAAAGTGCTAGGATTACAGGTGTGAGTCACCGTGCCTGGCTCAGTTGTGAATGGCTTTAACAAAGTCATAGTAATTTGAATTAAATAACAATTTTAAAAGTATCTGGGTCTGGGCTAATGATTTTCCATCATCTGGGTAGAAAGGTCTTCTTGGGATCCTGAGAGGAAACAATAGGACACTACTTTGGAGAATATTCCCCATGCCAAGCATGTTTTGTCCCACCAAAAAAGCATGAAAACAGATGCCAAAACCAACCAACTAAACAAAAACACCAAACAAAACCTAAAATGTCCTGCTGAAGATAAAAATTATGAAACACATTTTTTAATTGAGAAGTGATGAGCCAGATAATAAATATTGACTCAAACATGCCTGTGTTTTCTTCTTAGCCTATAGCACATGTATTGGTGGCAATAGTAAAATTTATTTTCTAATTTAGAAAGGACAAATTTTCCTTTTTGTATGCAATTTATTTCTACACATTATACAGTGGCAACATTTTGAAATTGTTTCTTAAATGTGATAGACCTAATGTTATTTTGTCTGTGATATTTTAATTTTTTTTAACAGAGTAAAAAGAAATTTGAAAGAGAATGTAGAGAGGCAGAAAAGGCACAACAGAGTTATGAAAGATTGGATAATGATACTAATGCAACCAAGGCAGATGTTGAAAAGGTAAGAAATACTCCAAACCAACTTTAGTATCAAAATACTGTTTGTTGCATATGGAAAGTAGTCACAATGTTTGTGTTGGTATTAGAATTTACTCAAGAGATACAGTATATCTAAGTCTAAAATATGCAAATATTTGCCTACTTTAAATTGCAAATATTGGTTTGAGAAATTAATATGTGTTAATTTGTTATAGCATTTTCGCTGCATTCAGAGGAAAGACATTGTTGTTATTGGGAGTGAATTTCTGTCCTATTCAAAAATAGGATAGAAAGCCTAAGGGTGTTGATGGGGGAATAACTAACTAGTTAGTTACATAATAATTAATTAGACTTTCTACAAGAGATTGAGAGGAATAGAACTATATTCAACATAAGCACTCCTTTAAGTACATGTGGTTTTGTACAGAGATGAAAATCATTGTTGACTATTACATTATTCAAAGCACACATTTTTATTATTTGGTTTTAAAATGAGCTTAGTTTCATATTTTAGTTGGATATGAGTGGATCATAAAGAAATGTGTTACTATCAAGCTTTTTACCAGTCTGAAGTATTCCTGAAGCTACCTGTTTTTCTCTTCTGATGAAAAGCTCACTGTTTTTAGTAATGTTGTCATTTACTTAATGTATTGTGGTCTGGTTTGATGAGGAGAGACTTTCTTCAAAGGTTTCTTACTGTGGGGGAGGGGGAGTATTACAGTAAGGAGACCACATGCTTTTGTTGTTCTTGTTAATGATTTAGACCAATTTGCTCCTAGGCCAAGCAGCAGTTGAACCTGCGTACACACATGGCTGATGAGAATAAAAATGAATATGCTGCACAGTTACAGAACTTTAATGGAGAGCAACACAAACATTTTTACGTAGTGATTCCTCAGATTTACAAGGTAAAATTTAGATATGTGAAGTTAATCTGGTTGTAGAGTTGAAGGAGCTAATCTTTACATGTAAAACATTAAATCTTGAACATACATATCTTTCTAGACTCATTAGTCACCAAGATTGGGGATGGGAGATTTCTTTATAATTACAGATTTGGAAAGTAAATTTTTCCTAATTTTTAAATTACAAATTTCTCTACATATTTATCGTTAGTGTTATAAACCATCCACTAAAACAATGACATTTCTGAGATAAATTTAAATACCATGTCTTTAAGTTAGTTTGATTTGAGACAGGGTCTCGCTCTGTCGCACAGGCTAGAGTGCAGTGGCGTGATTGCAGTTCACTGTAGCCATGAACTCCTGAGCTCAAGTGATCCTCCCACTTCAGCCTCCTGAGTAGCTGGGACTTCAGGCATGAGCTGTCATGCCTTGACAGTTTTTAATTTTTTTTTTGTAGATGTGGGTCTCGTGTTTCCTAGGCTGGTCTCAAAATCCTGGCCTCATGGAATCCTTCTGTCTTAGCCCCCATAGTACTGGGATTACAGTGTGAGCTACTGCAATCCACTTGTTAAGTATTTTGATGTGACAGGGAATTTGTTTAAATTGTATATTGTAATCGTCTCACCTAGAATTGGGATATAGTTTTCTTATACCAAACAAGAATCATCGGCATTAGTCCAGGTGGCAGAAATAAATCTTACAAAATGTATTTGCTAGTCTTGTTTTGCCTGCTTATCTTGCTGGCTCTATTATATTATAAATGTAATTCAGGCCTTGAATTTCCTTATAAATGCTGTCCATCATCACTTGACGATAACAGTTGCCAAATAGCCTCGGGTAAAGACCCCAGAATTTACATGAGGGTGAAATTATATTACTGCCTTTTCTAGAAAAATTAGAGCAGAGGGCTTTAGTAAAATAGCCTTGAATGGGGTAGTATCTCGGAGAGCAGAGCTTATGTGGAAAGAATGTCAGCTCAAGTAGTCTTTTTTCATTCTTAAGGCAAGTTAGACAAACACGAGGAAGCACAGTGAGCATTGTGCTAGAGTGGGTACCAGCTTCTGGTCACTGAGTTCGTGAGGTCACACTGCCAGTCCTTACTCTGGGGCACCTTTCTAGGCTCATGTGCTAAGTCTTCATGTTCTGGGGAGACCTTGACTTGAAGATGAACTGTCATCTGTGTTTGGGGGCCTGATCCTTGTATTTGGACCTTTCTATGGAGCAATTCTTTTGTGAAAATGCAGGTCTCAAACTCCCAGGCTTTGGGAAGTAATGAAAGAGGAAAGTAGCATGAAGGCTGTGGGAGTCTGGGGTCCAAGGAAAGAGAAAGGTCAGTGTTGGCAAATAGCAAGTGTCAAAAATGCCTTTCCACTATTGGACTTCGTGTGTTCCAATGTATTTCATAGTGGCATGTGCCAATGATTTTGGAATTGTGGGATTCTATATATGTGACACTTTGACTTTGTGGCTTCCTGTTTTTTCTTGTATGTTGCCAACTCTGAACTATAGACTGTGATAGGTTTGGGTACCTGTTGGTATGCAATCACTTGTGGTCCTTGGTCCAGCCAGGTCCTACCAAAGTATTCTGAACTAACTTAAGGGGTTAGAAGTCTCAGACTTGTCTACTTCACAGGCCAATTGCTTAAAAAAAAAATTAGTGCCAGAATTTTGTCTGCAGATGAAACTTTTTCTAGAAGCACAATACCAAGAACAACTCTGGTTGCAGAGTCAAAGGTGTGAGTGGTATGGGGGAGGAACCTGGTAGCCAGTAAGGGGTCCTTTTTGAAAGCTAGAACACAGTGTCATGAACCATGATTTTTTTCTTTCTTTCTTTTGCTGTTTAGCAAATACTTAGATTTTAAGTATTGTAAGTCAATAGGATTTGTTAAAAGGTAGTAACAATAGCAGTGAAGGCAGTTATTTTGGGGGGGAGGGCAGTAATTGATCTCCTTTAGAATGATTGGAAAATTGTTTTCTTTTTTTTAAATTCCTGTTTATTAGCAACTACAAGAAATGGATGAACGAAGGACTATTAAACTCAGTGAGTGTTACAGAGGATTTGCAGACTCAGAACGCAAAGTGATTCCCATCATTTCAAAATGTTTGGAGGGAATGATTCTTGCAGCAAAGTCAGTTGATGAAAGAAGAGTAAGTGCCATATAACTATCTTTGACTACGTCTGTGTGGTTCAGGTTTGCAGGTGAAGTTAATGAAACGGATTGGGAAAGGGGTAAAGTAATCTGATGTGCAAGTGGTTGTAAATCATGATATGTAGAGAAAGTCATGCAACAGGTTAGACTCCTTAGCGCTCTGAAGACCATTCTAAATGCTAAAGGCACGATTTTTAAAAGAAGATCTTCTCCCACTAATTTTCTAGTTTTAATCCAAGAGTTTAACTAATGCAAGAGTATGAGTGTGTGTTATGGGATGTGTTATATTAGTCTAGTGAAAGTTTAGAGAAGGCCATAAAGAGTTGTCCGTTGCCTTTAACACTTGAGCTGGATTAAGAAATGTATTTGGTTGTGTATGGAATGATGCTCCATGAGGAAGAGTAGGAGGGGGGAGGGCAATATGAGTAGAGGATACAGCAGGGTCCTCTTGCCCTTGAGGAAATATATCTAGTCACATTATATATATATATATATATATATATATATATATGTATGTATATTGAGTCAGGGTCTCTGTCACCCAGGCTGGAGTATAGTAGCATGATCACGCCTTACCACAGCCTTGAACTCCTGGGCTCATGCAATCTTTCTGCCTCGACCTCCAGAGTAGCTGGTACTACAGACATGAGCCACCACACCCAACTAATTGTTTTTGTAGAGATGAGGTCTCAGTGTATTGCCCAGGCTAGTCTTGAACTCCTGGACTCAAGCAATCTTCCCACCGTGGCCTTCCAAAGTGTCAGCCACCACACTGGACCCACATTGTATCTTGATTAGATTAGGGTGTAGCAGTCTTATATCTGGCTGTTTCTCAGTAAATATTAAGTGATTAAAAATCATAATTGGTAAAAACTGAGGATATGAGAGAAGAGAACAAGTGTTTGGGACGTGTCTAATACGTACCACATATTTCAGTCTTCACAGCAAACCTATCAAGTACATAATGCATTGATGAGGATCCTTCCTGTAACAACTAATGGAGTGCTTACTTACATTTAGAAAAGAGGATGTTTGACTTCTTTAGTTGGAAATTCCAAAGTGCATATTTATTTCAATACGTCTGGGTCCAAGGTTATTCCATAGAGTTAGGTCCTGCTTTCTCTCCTTACCTTGAGCAAATGATTGTCATGTGTCGTGTTAGTGACAGAATTAAGGTTTGACATAAGGGTGACTTGAATAAATGATGGGCAAAATGTACTGTTAACATCTAGGGAGCAAAAGAGGAGAGGTGGTGAGGGGTACAGAGAAGTTTGTGGAGATAAAGTATTTTGTTTTAAAATAATGAGTGTAAGATGTCAGTAAAGCATTCAGATAGAGCTTGTCTAAAAACAATCTATAATATTTATGTGGGTTTTAAAGTTTTAGGTAAATGCTATTAAACTTTATATTTTCACACTTCTTTTTTGCACTCAGTGTTTGAGGTTTTTCCATTGCTCTGTTAACATTCTGCAGAATGTATTTAACATAATTTATGTATCTTTTTTCCATGTTGGATGAATGAAAGACTTTCTACTTGTTCTTATCTCTTTTACAATTGGATGCTCTTTCCTCATTCCAGAGATCAACTTCTTTGTAGCCATCCTTTAAAGCACAAATAATTTTTCCATTGAAACGTCTCAGAATTTCTACTTGACAATCACCTCTTTCTATATCCCTTTGTCAGTTAGGTCTTTCTTATCAGCTAGCTAGTTTTCAGATAAATGTCTAGGGGTTAAAGCTACTGAGTACAAACATTTCGTGAGTATTGTAAATTGTGTAAGTGGTAATTTTTAAGTATATTTTTCTATTGGAATTAAAATGTTTAGAGTTTATTACAAACTCACAGGAAGAAATTATTCACTTTAAACCTTTAATGATTACTGTAGAATTATTTCTTTATTTTTATTTATTTTCTTGTACTGAATAAAGTTTTGAATGTTAATGCAGTATTATGAGCAAATGTAGTGGTCTTAAAACTTATGTGTCTTGTGTGTAGGACTCTCAAATGGTGGTAGACTCCTTCAAGTCTGGTTTTGAACCTCCAGGAGACTTTCCATTTGAAGATTACAGTCAGCATATATATAGGACCATTTCTGATGGGACTATCAGTGCATCCAAACAGGAGAGTGGGAAGGTGGATACCAAAACCACAGTAGGAAAGGCCAAGGGCAAATTGTGGCTCTTTGGAAAGAAACCCAAGGTAAAACATAAAATTCTTATATACTAATCAGCTTTTTTTAGCATGTCAATTATATTAATGTAGATATTGATTGGATAATCAATTACTACTCTTGGGAGGTAAATGTTTTCAACTTGAATGATTGCATTAACCATCGCTTGTAGGAAACATAGAGTTTTATACCTTAATAGTAAAAATTATTTCTGGACTTAACATTTGATCATTGCTTTATAATGAGTAAGAATATTAACTAAGTTGCTGATATCTAGTTAAATTATATGTTTTTGAAATTTCATTTGTATGTAGTTTCCATCAGAATTTCTAAGGAACATGATCTAATTAAAAAACTTCTCAATTGGAATTAATGATTGACCACAGCAATAATAAATGTCAAGTTAGGTCTTATAGATCATACTACTAAAATTGTTTTTATTACCCATATGAGTTTTCAGTGGGGAGGGCTAAGTGTTTTTGGTTAACTGAAGTTTTAAAAATTTCTACTTTGCTAAGAGAATCTCACTCTTAACTTCTTGTTAGACTCCACCTTTGGATGTGCTTTATTTTATTTTACATAAATCTAGCTTGGCAGGTGAGCAAATAGACTAGATGAGTGCTTTGTCTTTCTTATCAATTAAGTGTTTGTAGTAGTGTCAGATCAGTAAGGAGAGCAGATAGATTTAATCTGATATGCTGTATTAAAGTATTCTCAATTATTTTTAATTCACTTTTTTGATCTTGGTGTACGAATGTGGATAAGATTAAAATTTAGCTCAATTTATAATATATCTATACATATTTTTAAAAGCACAATTATAAGCAACTCACATTTTTTTTATGCTTTTAATACTGTCCAGTCAAGAAGTTGAGAGGTGAGACCGCTTTAAGTTTGATCAGTGTAACTAGAATACCTTAGAAATACAAGGAATATTGAAATTTAAAAAGAAAAAAGAGGTGAAATAAGGATGAAATAGAAACACTGAGAGGAAAGCCCTGAATGTAATGAAATTTTTAAATCTACTCTTGATAGTAATCAGTTACAGTTTTAATACTTTATGTGTGACATTACCTATTTAGATAACTTTAGCTGCTGCCTTTATCTATTGATAAGTACCGGTATTCTAGAAATATTTCTAATGTTCTAGAAATCAGAAGAGAATTTTAAAATCAGGTGGTATTGCTCTCGCTAACATTAGAATTTGTGTACTCTATATTTTTAATCTGTCAGTTTGTAGAAAGTGATCGAGTGAAATGGTACATCTTAAAAAGTAAATTTGATTTTTTAAAATGATAGTTTTTGGCAAAACCGTATTTACTTTCTTACAGAAAACTTTATTTGAGATATGTGTTGTGAAAAGTATGTTGCCAAAAAATAGAATTTTCACTTAGGAAAAAGCTGTGCACATTTGGCTTATTGATTCCTTTCTTTATTTCCATACTAGCCACAGTCCCCACCCTTAACCCCCACTAGTTTATTCACATCCAGTACTCCTAATGGGTCCCAGTTTCTCACATTCTCCATTGAGCCCGTGCATTATTGTATGAATGAAATAAAAACAGGGAAGCCCAGAATTCCTTCTTTCAGAAGCCTCAAAAGAGGGGTAAGTTTAATCATGGGTTAAAATGCATGATGGCCTATTGTGTGTGTAGTGTGGCTTTTAATACTCTCCACCCTCATTATAAGGCTCTCTCCTATAAATAAGTAGTTTTAAAATGCCACAGAATTAAGTATAGCTGCCCTCAAGCTAAAAACAACTCCTCTTTATAACATTTGAAATGCTCAACCATGAAAGAATGGTATTATAAAGAGGGTGCTGGGTACAGTCATATTTTAGCTATTTTTTCTGTTTATGTGAAATCATATGTTCACCATTGTCTTGTAATGTATTTACATTTTTGAGACTTTCAGTAATTTGTCGCTGGAATTACTCTTGTAATTTGTCACTAGTGCTAACTTCACCTGCCGATTGTATAAAGTATTATTTTGTTGACAGTAAAATGTCAAGTTCAGTTTTAATTGCCCTATTTAAGTTTTAGAAGCATAAAACAATTTCCAATAGTTAAAAAAGATAGGCATGTTAAATATCAAGATTACAGATCACATTAAGATAATATATTAGAAAATATTTTGTAAATTGTACAGCCTGTACAAATACTAGGTATTACTGAGTAATGTTTACATGGAATTTGTTTTCTTGAAGTATAAAAAAGTAAAACTATTTTTACCAGAATTTTTTCTTTATTTTTGTTAAAAGTTGGTCAGCCATTGGCATTTACTTACTCGTAGGAATACTCTGCAAATAAAAATTTATAGAAGAGTAAAAAACAAATAGAAAACTGTTTCTTAGTAACAACTATTATACTCCTGATATGTTACTGAGGCTAGTTCTTCTTGTTATATTTGATTTTACGGGCTTGCTTTTAATATTCATAGCATATAATTTAGGCTCATTTATAAAATGTGAGCCTTTGGACATTTGGAAAGTGTTTGCTAGCTCGTAGATGAGGAATCAGAGTCTCTCAGTGTCATAAGCCTGATTACAGTAATACACAGAGGTTGGACTCTTCCTTTCTTCTCTCCTTCCCCCTCCCCTGCTGTTCCCCCCTCCCTCTTCCCTTCCCTTTTCTTTCCCTTCTCTTTGTCTTTCTTCCTTTCTGTAGCTTTGTCTATCTTCCTTCAGATTGCATTTTGGTCTCCGATAGGATAAGACATACTAGTTTAGAGCAGAATTGCGTTATTACTGACATTTCTATTAAAGCAATATGATAACCTCAACTGACATCAGTAATACAGCAGGAATATCCCAGTGTGTTAGACCTTTTTTGGAATTCCCTGTTTCCTCCAATGACATGAACTTCTTTGCAAATATCTTACCCACTTCTCTGTGTGGATGATATAGGTAATTTATGACATTTTGGAAAGTCCCTATGGATGAGGCTGTATTATATTTACAGACATGCTTTGATCACTTTTAAAAGCTCTTAACACTTGTTTGAAAGACTTGAAAAAAATCATATTTGGAATTTCTGTTGCCTGAGTTATGTCGATTTAGACTACACTCGATATTGTTACATAATCATCAGAAATTACTATTTAGTAGCCATGTTTTTGTAATTGTGTTTCTTACATATGAGCCTACCAGGCCCAGTTAAAGTACTCTACACAATATAGTCAAGAGAGATATGAAATAAGTGTAATTCTATGAAAAAAAGTTTAGGCAATTAGAACTGTGAGCCCTGGAGAGAGAAGCTTACCTGTGTAATATCTTCATTCTTACTAAATAAGTTTGTAGGTAGAATTTTACAACTATAAAACTTAAAGCTATTTGCTTGATTATTATTTGTTTTTCACAATTGCTTTAATTTTAAATATTAATAGATTATTTTTGCTGGGGCCTAGTTTTAGAAAGCTGAAATCTTCCCCCAGTTTTATTATTAGGTACTACTCTAAGGAAGAAAGCATGTGCATGATAGAAAACATGAGACAAACCAGCTAGGGGCTTGGAGAAGGGAGCAGGGAGGAAGGTGTATTGAAACATAGGGGCTGAAAAATTTATTTCTGTGTTGATTGGCGTTTGGTAGTTTACTAGACACCATTGCAGAATTAACCTGTAAAGATGTTTTCCTTCTACTTAAGAATGTTCTCAATATAGAAAAATTCAGAAAGAAGTTTAACTTTAATAAATCAGTTTATATGTTTTTACATGGATGATTCACTCCATTGAGCTTATAAAATAAGTCTTGAGGTTTTAAAAAGCTGATTAATTGTTCAGAAACTCTTGTTTGAGCTATATTTGTGAGACAGTGCTTTTTCTAAATACCATTTCTAAAAAAAACCCTATGGTTTTGTTTTTATTTTTTTAAGAAAAAATGGTGTATATAGATTTCAGTATTAATAAGAATAGGAGGAATGTTCTGTTAGGCATAGTTTTTTAATTCAACAGTAGACCTTCTCTGAAGAATGAAGGTCTATAATTTCTTGCTGTGACATCCAGTTCTAACCATTAATGGATATTTGGGGATACATCCAAACTTAACTACTTAATATACAAACTAATAATTTTTACTCTGTAACAACTTCATTTGAGCTTTATTGGGCACTCTGTTTTTTAAGTAAAGATTTATCTGGCCATAAGTCCATATTCTGTCTAAATAATTCATGACTTTATAGACTTGAAGAATCATTTTTCTAAGCTTTTATCTCTCCGGGGTACAGTTCTCACAGGATTTGGGCCTATCTTAAAATGAAATACCTCTAAGAATTTTAATTGCATAATTAATTTCCTTTCTACCTTCTTTTGTATTTATTAATGGGTATATAAAATCTTCTAGTTTGTAGGCATATGATAGTTGTATATTCAAATAAGGTATTTTTGTATGGAACATGTATTATTTTAAAAAGTACACAATAAATTTCTAATGTTTTTACAAAGAACTTGAGTTTTGTGTATCCCCAATCTAAGGATAAAAAACTGTAAATTTATTTTCCAATTGATAATTTATTAAGACAGGATTAACTAAAAAGTGAAACAGTTAATATTTCAGCTATAATTATCTTAATGTTTTCTCTAAAAGATATTAATATTGAAAAAATAATTTGTGTCACTTAGAAATTTAGCTGGTGAAAATTATCATAAAAGATATGTCAGGCTGCATACAGTGGCTCACACCTGCAATCCCAGCGCTTTGGGAGGCTGAGGTGAGAGGATTGTTTGAGCCCAGGAGTTCGAGACCAGCCTAGGCAACATAGTGAGATCTCATTTCAACAAAAAAAGCAAAAACTTACCTGAGCGTAATGGTGCATGCCAGTAGTCTCAGCTACTGAGGAGGCTGAGGCAGAAGGATTGCTTGAGCCCAGAAGTTTGAGGCTGTGGTGAGCTATGGTCATTGCCACTGCACTCCAGCCTGGGTAACAGAGTGAGACTCCAACTTAAAAACAAAGTCAGATTCAAATGCCTTAAATATTTTATTTCTTGTCTTATGTAATTTTGTTTATTAACATTTAAAGATCATGAAGATATTTCTTTAATTTAAACTTTTAAAATTCCTCACCAGAAATTTTGTCATAGTGAAATAAATTGTGGTTTTTGTTTCTCGAAACTACTGACAGTCTAAAGAATGTTAAGCTTAATTTGGAAAGATAATTGATAGCAAATGTCATCTTATCATAATCATTAATATATATGACCAACTCATCAGAGATAAAGGGTAGATATTTTTGTCAAACATTATTAAAATTCATTCATATTTTTATGCGAAACTCTGCCTAGCATCTCTCTATCACCTTCTCTTAAAATATCATGACTTAGAAAACAGGGAAAAATAAAAATTTTAGAGAATTGCTAACCAGTTGTGATAAATGTGAAGATTAATTTTGTATAGCTTTTTTGCGTATGCTGCGTTTTGTTTGTGTGTGTGTGTGTGTGTGTGTGTGTGTGTGTGTGTGTGTACGTACCATGCCAGTTCAGAATTCTAAACTCACAGAATGTAGTAGATACATACATACATACATATATATGGTATTCATACTGTATCAGAGCACTGTGGTTGGTGTTGGTCTCTTCAGAATCTGTATCATTTCCTATTTTTAGAAAGAATAAATTTTAATAAATTTTCTAAAAATGAAAGTTAGTGTTTTTTAAACATATGAATTTCAGAATAAAACTGAAAAACAGAAGCTATATTTTTAAAGCAGAATTCAAGCTATATATTTGTGTCTATTTGGAATATGCATGGAAGCTTGAATCTGGATAGTGCATTTATTATTTTGATAATAATGTGTTTTAATGTGTCTGTACATTTTTTAAAAGTCTTAAAACTAAAGTAAAAATGTTAGCCTCGCCTAACCATGATCGTATTTAAATTCAAAACAGTATTTTGAACTATAAAATTTAAAATAATGGTGCTTTCTTTAATACATTGGGAAGAACATTCTTTTTTGAAAATTTCTTTTTAAATGGCTAATATTAGATCTTTTGTATTCAACTTGTAAAATATTAATATTTTGAGAATGAACAGTTATAAAAGTAAAATTCACTTATGTCAAAATTTACTTTAAAAGAAAATGCATGATTACTGATAGAATGATTACTATTTACTTTTGAGTTTTAGTTAAACTTAGAAAATATCTGCCCATTATCATCAGTGTATGCATTTTTGCAAGTAATTTACTTTCCCAAAATGTGCTTAAAATTGTTTTTCTGCCATAATTGTTTGGATTGTGAAATGTACATGATTTATTTTAATACTGTAAAAAAAGTATGGGCTATTGCATCTTCTGTATTATGGTTTCATGTGAATAATTTACCATTTCTTTCTGTTTTCCATTGAACTATTCAGTGGTCGGTGAAGATGGTAAGCCTTATGTGCTGATCTATATACTGTGCCAACATTAAGTAATCTCAAAACATTGTTGTGTTTAATTCAAAGCAAGTGGTAAATTACATTCCACATTTTCACCTTGTGTGTTTTTTTCTTTGTGTAGTTTAATCCATAATCCAGCATATGCCAGTAACTCTTGATGTCATCAGAATAGAAAATAGTGTGCTTAACTGTCATCAGCCCATTAAGTTCTTGAATGTTATTGGATGGAGTCCTTGTCATGTTACATAAGAGCATAAAATTATGGTTAAACATCAGTTTTAAAGTTACGTGGTAGAGCAAAAATTTATGTTTAGTGCAGAAGGAAAATTTAGCAAAAACTATTTTTCTTAGCATCCTTTAAAAAGAGTATATGAATTTGATACGTAGTTTATCACAAGAATCGTTTTTTGCAAAAAGAAAGGATGTATTTCTGCTAGTATCATTGTAAAGTCAGTGCTCTGTTCTGTGCTGTTGAAGGGGAGTGGAAGCACAAGCGGTCTAAATATTGTGAGTGTGTGTGTGTGTGTGTGTGTGTGTGTGTGATGTTCCTTTGCATGTTTATTTCATACAAATTAGTGGAGCTACATTATGAAGAACTAACCCCAAAATTATTGTATAGGAAGGTATACAAAACAGCTTTTGGGAAATAGACTACTCCATTATATACTGTTGCAATCAGCCTTTCATAAATTCTCTTATAGTAAGAAGGTTGTTAATGACTCAGAGAGCTTCTTAACATTCGTAGGAAATAGAGTGAAGTTAGTTCTCATATTCTATATAAGAATAGGTTCTAATATCAAATGGGATATTAGAAATGTAAATGCCTAGATATTTACTATTAATAAATTTGAGAACAAGATTTGAGGATAAGTGGAACGCTGGCAGATTTCCTTGTGGATAATTGTGAGTTTATTATAATTTTAACAACAAAAACTCATGCTACATTTAAATGCATTTCTTCATGTAATATTTTTAATATTTAATATTTTAATATTCTTCATTAAATATTTTTTCAAGATATTAAGAAATATTTTTAAAAATATAAATCAGAAAGTTTATCTTTGGCATAGGTATATATAATCATTTTTAAAACCTGTACTCCTCACCTGTAATTCTAGCTATGTAGGAGGATTACTTAAGACAGGGAGTTTGAGATCAGCCTGGGCAATATAGCCAGACCCCAGCTCTTTAAAAAAAAAAAAAGCCAGGTGTGGTAATGTGTAAGTCCAATCTACTTGGGAGGCTGAGGTGGGAGGATCACTTGAGCCCAAGAGTTTGAGGTTATAGTGAGCCATGATTGTCAACTACACTCCAGCCTGGGTGACAGAGTAAGACTCTGTCTCAAAACAAACAAACACAATAAAGGGTACTCCACCCCAGCACTTTAGGAGGCAGAGGTGAGAGGATTGCCTGAGCCCTGGGGTTCAAGACCAGTCTGGGCAACTTGGCGAGACCTCATCTCTATAATAAATCAAAAAATTAGCCAGACATGGTGGCGTGTAAAGTGGTTCCAGCCACTTGGAAGGCTGAAGCAGAAGGATTGCCTGAGCCCAGCAGGTTGAGGCTGCAGTGGCTGTGAGAGTGCCACTGCACTCCATCCAGCCTGGGTGACAAGTGAGACTCTGACCAAAAAAAAAGTACTCCAAATTAGATTAAATATGACACTTTATATAAAGGCACTTCATGTAGGAAATTTTGTCATTCATTCACTTAGGTCTAATTTGGTTGATTGTCATTCTTGGTTCTGGTGACTGGTAGATGAAAAAATCAAAAACCACTTAGACAGGATGCCCTACTTTTTTTCAACCACTTTTGAATGTCCATGATGGGCAGGCCACTGGGGACAGATTCTAGGGATTCTATTATTAATTAAATGTTACATTTGATCATGGCTCATCTTAGGAGTAAGCATTCTCCTTTTTAAAAAAGTAAGTGAATCGTTTGTGTAGATGGTGAAATGAAGCTGTTTAGCATATGCTATAGACATAAGTGACCCAAGAGCAAGCATGCATTTGTTTTGGGAGCTTCTTTTAGCATCACTTTAAAAAATTGAACCATATTTATAATCTTAAAATAATCATTTTGAAAAGAAAAATGAATACTGGTAGGCATCAATTTTTGGAATATATAAAGACCTAAGTAAACATATTTATATTAAATGGATTCAATAGCTGCTAAATTGGTTCTGTTATAATCTCTAATAACATAGCTAAAGTAACAGTGATTAAAATAACACTTAAAATAAAAAAGACATCATTTGAATCAAAGATTTACATCTAAATACTAGTGCTTTTCTTAAATTTTCGCAGTGTCTTGAATGTCAAATCATTAAAAAATTTTCAGACATTGAACATCCTTCCCAAAGAAGGATTATATTTTTCTTTTGTTAACAACTGACGTATGTTATTTGGTTTTACAAAAGGTTAATTGAAAATATACTTCTTGTTGGAAAATAATTTCTACTTAGTGGATAGTTCTTTTTATTCCTTAATCATCAGGTATATTTTGATTTTGAGGAATGGTTTAATTAATCATTCAAAGGCTGCAGCATTAAAATATATTTCACTAATTAGATTGTCTTTATGAGGTAAGTTGCGTTGCTTGTTTAACTCAATTATATTCACATTTTTAGTTTGAACATTTGTAACATTCTGAATGTCATAACAATTGGTTTGATTTGGAATTGTAGTGAAATGCTATATATAAAATAATAAGCTGTGCAGACAAGAAATGTTATGTGTTTCCATTTTGTTGTTGTTGCTGTAAGAAGGTTTATATGTATTCATTTAACTCTGCCAAGATTTGAGAATAATGTGATACTGGTCATTGCCAATTACCTAGTCTGTTTCATGGCTTTCTAAAGTGACTGAAATTTTAGCTCTTTCTTCAATACAGTTGTTTTCATTAACATACAAACGTAAACACACATATCTATGTAGATTTTTAAAAGGGGTTGTTTAAGGTAAATTTGAAATTAAATTTAAAATTGACATATATTCTTATTTTATAGTAGATATATTTTAAAAATAAAGTCTCCTGAGAAGAGTTTGTTATAATGATTCAGATTCTCTTTTCAGGGCCCGGCACTGGAAGATTTCAGTCATCTGCCACCAGAACAGAGACGTAAAAAACTGCAGCAGCGTATTGACGAACTTAACCGAGAACTACAAAAGGAATCTGACCAAAAGTACTGCTCCTTTAAGTTGCTTTTGTCATTAGTTTCTTTTAGGATCTGCTTTGAATGATGCCTTTAAATGTGACGTATAGAAAGTTTTTAAACTATATTGTGCATCTTAATTGAGATAATCTTTTTTTTTTTTTGAGTGGGAGTCTCACTCTGTTGCCCAGGCTGGAGTGCAGTGGCATGTTCACAGCCACTGCAGTCTCGACTTGCTGGGCTCCTGCAATCCTTCTGCCTTAGCCTTCCAAGTAGCTGAAACTACAGGCATACGCCACCATGCCTGGCTAATTTTTTTTTAATTTCTTTTGAAGACAGGATCTCACCAAGTTGCCTAGGTTGGTCTCAAACCCCTAGACTCAAGCAGTCCTCTTGCCTTGGCCTCCCAAAGTACTGGGATTACTGGCTTGAGCCACCACACCTGGCCCAATTGAAACATCTTTGGAGAGAAAAATATTCTTCTAAACTGGAAAACTTTATGGCTGCCCTGTCATATATAGAAATGGAATGCCAGCCGGGCTCGGTGGCTCAGCCTGTAATCCCAGCACTTTGGGAGGCTGGGGTGAATGAATTGCCTGACCCTGCGGGTTCGAGACCTGCCTGGACAACTTGGTGAGACCTCATCTCTACAATAAATCAAAAATTAGCCGGGTGTGGTAGTACGCACTTGTAGTTCCAGCTACTCGGAAGGCTGAGGTGGAAGGATCGCCGGGGCCCAGCAGGTCGAGGCTGCAGTGGCTGGGAGCGGCCACTGCACTCCAGTCTGGGTGACAGAGTGAGACTCCAACTCAAAAAAATAAAAAATAATAAAAGGAATGTCAGAGAGTTTCTTTGGTTGCACATTTTTATTGGATGCTAATAGTAAAACTTCCATAAATTTGCAAAATTGCTTTATGATTCATTATCAAGAGTAGTTTTACAAACGTTAACCTCCTCTTACGCTTTGATGTATTTTCATTTTGCTTTGGTATATAAATTGAGTTCATTAGCAACCTGAGGCTATAATTATTTTGTTTGCAGCAAAACATGTTGGCAAACAGTGCTTGATTACTTACAGCTCCATATTTGTTCATGCATAGCTTTGATTTTTTTTTCATTTTTACAAAAAGTTTCCTTTAGTTCAATTTAAAAAAATGGACACAGAAGAGTTCTTTATGATGAATAAGGGGTTTTTACAGTGAATTGGTGATTTACAGTATCTACACTGAAGATAAAATGAGACTTAAATTGTAACACGAGAAATTGAAGTATGAGGCTAATCATTGTGTATCAAGTGTGATGTGCTCAGTCACAAATGAAATATTGCAGTATGGTTCATTCTCATTATTCACAGAGCCATGTTCTGTAAAGTCACCATGAGCACTGCATTATCAAATACTCAAACATTGCTCTTTGGGGAAATAGGCTCTGGTCACAACATTGTCATCAACTGATTGACTGTAACCTTGTTTTATATGTTTCTGTGTAAGACACCACACGTTTTCTCTGTAAGTAACATCCAGCCTTCTTGTGCTGAGGAACACTAGACAAACTTCAGCACTCTGCTTAGGGACTATTTTAAACACTTAAGATCATCAACAAAAAGTACAGATGTATGAAAAACATAACAGTAAATAAGTTGATTGCAAAAAGTACACTTGTTGAGAATGTGAGAGCACACAAAAGAAGGTCAAAGTATCATCTTTTTCACCTCAGCTGGGAACCTGAATGTCCTCTGGTGACTCAGATTTTTCTCTGCTCTGTCCATGTCCTAAACAAGAATAAAGGCACAGAAATGTGAATGTTCTTGCCATATACTAGAGCGAGCTCTAATCCAGTGAGATTTTATTAAAAAGTATGTAGCGTGTAATAACAGAAGTGAGGGATGCAAAGTTACAGAATGAATTGTGGAAAGTCTTGGATGTTTTTCTGGGGAGTTCTGTAGGTACTGAAATCGCCAAAAATTGCTGAGCGAAAGGGTGAGATGATCGGCTATGTATTCTAAAGAAGGTCATTGAAAGTTGTATTAAGAAAAATGGTTTAGGGCAGAGGTTGGAGGCAGAAGACTAGTTAGGAGAGTTCTGACAATCCAGGTGAAAGATACTGAGGTCCTAAATTAGGGCAGGCCATGGGAATAGAGAAAGGAAGATTCAATAAAAGAGTCATTTCAAAGCCAAAGTAGGGTGGACTTTTACCTGATTGGATGCCTAAGAAGAGAATAATGGAAGTGGTTTTTAAAAAAAGGCTCGCGGTTCCCGAGAGCAGCTATAGAGTTTACTGAAACAGTATGGGAAGGTAAAGTTGGGGCAAAGGTAATGGTTTGGTCTATGTTGGTTTTTGAAATATGTAAAAAATTCATATTGGATGTGTCCAGTTGTGTTTGGAAATACGAATCTAGAACTTAGGAGAACTGGAGATGCACATTTGCAGATCATCTGAAGATAGATGTTACTAAAATAGTGAGAGATCATCTTCCTCAAAGACGAGCGTAGGGTGAGATGAGAAACCTTTGTCATCTTATGTAACATACACTTCAAGGTTGAGCAAAGAAGGAGCCAGTGAGGGAGATGGAGAGAAAGCAAAGGTGAGGAGGAGGAAAACATGTAAACTCAGGAGGCCAAGAAGGAAAAGTATTGAGGAGTGTTAGTTAGTCGTGTCAGTTGTTGGAGTCCAGGAGAGCTAAGGCGTGACCTATTGTAATGTGATTAGGAGATGGTGTGAGAGGAACTGGCAAATGCCTGAATTTAGAGGGAGGAGGCAAGTTAAAGCTGCCATTCCTATTTCTAGCACAGGTGAGTGGGAGGACAGAGGTGCTGTGTGAGCTGAGATGAGGAACACCAGTGAGGTAACACGGCTGGCAGGCATGTGATGAGCTTGACTTAGGACATGATGAGTTTAAGAATACTGAGGAGTATTCTTCCAGCTCTTGATTAGACATATATACATATGAGATTTTATTTTTAATATATATTTATTTTTATAAATAAAATACATATAAAAATAAAATCTCCTTTTTTTAGAAGCCAAGAAATGAGAAATGAAATCTGTTCTCTTTTGTAGTCCAAGTGTTTTCAAAGATTATCTTCATAAATTACTAATTCTATATATGTTATTAGCTTTGTGCAAATTGTCTTCAATCAGGCAATGCTAGATTAAACTTAAAGAGATATAACTCTGTTTAAGATTAAGCTGCATAAGAATCCCCAGAGTCCATAAAAGTCTTTTATCTGGAAGCATATGGAATTAATATTTAATTTTGTGGTTTCCTTTCCTTTTTCAGAGATGCACTCAACAAAATGAAAGATGTGTATGAGAAAAATCCACAAATGGGGGATCCAGGGAGTTTGCAGCCTAAATTAGCAGAGACTATGAATAACATTGACCGCCTACGAATGGAAATCCACAAGAATGAGGTAGATTTGTTATTCAGCAGTTGTCTGAGATAAGTTACTTTTGTAAGCTTTTTATATAATAGATTGGTTTTTGCTAGAATGACCTTCAAATGTTTGTATTTAATTTTAGATCTTATGATCTAAAAGTAAAGTGTCATTGTGGTATATAATCATTAGATTAATCCCTCATTAAAGTTTTTTATTTAAACATTTATACTTTTTTTTTTAGTTGGGGGGGTTCTCACTCTGTCACCCAGGCTGGAGTGCTATGGTACGATCGTGGCTCACCACAGCCTTGACCTCCTGGACTCAGGTGATTCTCCCACCTTAACCTCTTCTGTGGCTGGGACAGCACATACTACTCCACCCAGCTTACTTTTTTATTTTTTTGTAAAGATGAGTTCTCACTGTGTTGCCTGGACTGGTCTGGAACTCCTGGGCTTAAGCAGTCCTCCCACTTTGGCCTCCCAGAGTGCTGGGATTATAGGTGTGAGCCACTATGTCCAGCCACATTTATACTGTTTTTAAAACCAACTGTAAAGCTGATCATTGATCAGATTGGAATAAGGGTTTCCCATCTCTAAGAATTACATAATTATAAAAACTCAAAACACATTTTAAGTGTAGAATATCTTACAAACTTCTGAACATATTTATTGAGCTCAGTTGTCTGCTTATTTTTTCCCCAAGGCTTGGCTCTCTGAAGTTGAAAGCAAAACAGGTGGGAGAGGAGACAGAAGACACAGCAGTGACATAAACCATCTTGTGACACAAGGACGAGAAAGGTCATTTTTTGCATTTTACTTGTATGCCTTCTTTTCTTCCAAATTTTTTTTCACCGATTTGTTTTACATTTTGTATAGTTCTTTTTCTTTCTTCCAAATTTAACAAAGTTGGCATTTTAATAACTTCAGTCTTTTGAATCTTAGTAATTTTCTGTTTCTTTAGCAGTGGTTAGAGGTGAAGTGAGAAATTTCATCTTGCTATTTAATTCTAGTGTGTCATGCATCCAGAAACAGAACTAGGAGCCATAGAAACTTCCTAGAGCTACTTCCTGGGGCACAGGTGCCCCCAAGCATGGGGAGAGTCCCCAGAGGCTTAGATAGAGTTGGGTGGCTTATGCCCAGGAAAGATTTTACTGTCAAATTGCTCAATGTTTTATGAAGGAAAAAAAAAAATCTGTGTTGTTAGTTTGGATCAGAGCTTTCAGAAGGCATTTTGCTGAATCTGCATACCCCTTGTACATTTCTCTCTTGGTGAAATATATCTCTTTTTTCCCATAACAAAAGTCTACAAATTAGGATTCACCTTAGAGAAGAATCTGACAGATCTAGTATCAAATCTTGGTTTTTTACTTAATTATAGTGTAATTTGAGCAAGTTCATTTTAATGCTCCCTGAGTCTCAAGTTCCTGAAACATAAAATGGAGGTTGAAATACCCATTCTTCAGGGTTGTTAGTGAAAAAGGGAATAATGTCCATAAGCACCTAGTGGTAGGATACCTGGTAATAGTAGATGATTCACAAATGTTAGTTCCTCCCTTTCCTCTCTTATCTCCCTTGTCACTTCTTGAAAGAGCACATATCTTCAATATGTGGGCAATATCCACTAATAATAACTGGCTTTTGTTATTAGGTGAAGCCTAGAATAAAAGGATCTAATTTCTCCAGCATGTGTTATTGCAGAACATGGCTTCCAGGCTTACTGTTAAACCTAATCCTGTAAATTTTTCCATTATTAAAATTTTATTCAATCATTTGATTCCTCAGCAAAATTATTAACATTTTGATCTTTGATTTTTAAAGTTTTAAAGAAAAATAAGGTTCATTTTTATTACCTGCCTTTCTGGATTTTCTAAGTTACTAACTTTCCTGTTACTACCATTAATTGGAAATTAACTTTACTTCTTATTTTAGTTGAGTCTTTTTTTTAAATAATCATGCTTTTATTTGCTGATGCCATTACAAAAACCGATTACGTTAGAAACAAAAAGTGTTTTCTTGAGTTGAAGTCAAAGACTTTTTTTTTCTTTTGGGTTGGAGTCTCAATCTCACTCCAGGTTGCAGTGCTGTGGCACACTCATGGCCACTCCAGTGTCAACCTGCTGGGCTCCAGAGATCCTTCTGCCTCAGCCTTCCAAGTATCTGGAACTTGGTTTGCGCAACCATGTCTGGCTAATTTTTTTTTTTTTTTTTTTTTTGTAGAGACACGGTCTTGCCAAGTTGCCCGGACTGGTCTCCAACCCGCGGGCTCAGGCAATCCACTCACCTCAGCCTTCCAAAGTGCTGGGATTACAGGCTGAGCCAACAAGCCTGGCATTTTTTTTTTTAAGGTAGGGTTTCACTCTGTCACTCAGGAGTGCAATAGCGTGATCTTGGCTCACTGATACCTTGACCTCCTGGACTGAAGTGATCCTCCTGCCTCAGCCTCCCAAGTAATTGGGAATATAGGTGCACACCACTACTCCCAGCTAACTTTTCTATTTGTTGTACAGATGGGGTTTTGCTTTGTTACTCATGCTGGTCTCAAACTCCTGACCTCAAGCAGTCCTCCCACCTCAGCCTCCTAAAGTGCTGGGATTACAGACATGAGCCACTGACACTTGCCAGAATCTTTTGGTTTTCAGTGACAGAATGAATACTTACCCATACTGGCTTAAACTAAAAATGAACATCATTAGTTGATTTTAGGGGGAGCTTGCTAGGAGCTCAGATGTTATCCTCAAGCCTCAGTTTCTCTCCGTCTCACGGTTCTGTCTTCTCCTGTGTTGGCTTTTAAGGAGTTCATATGGGGTCTTCTAAGGATCTGGGTGACTATTCCTTCAAATTCAGGTCCAGTGGAAAAGGGAGTATCCTTCTCTCCCAACAGTCCTAAGCGGAGGCTCTGTGTATCTGACTGGGTTGCAGAATTACTTGAACTATTTATTCCAGCCATAGAAACAACTCCACCTGAAGCCTGGGAACTGAATCTGGGTCTGGGTGGGTTCCCTAAAGAATTATAGGGTTCTTTTGCCAAAAGTCGGGATGAAGAATCTGGGATGATGAAAGATAAGTGTCTACTATATTTTTTCTTTTTCTCTATAGACCCAGTAATAGTGAGATGTATGTATATACCGAATATTGTTCTGTTCCTAGAACATTATAATCTTTTAATTTTTTATTTCAAAAAATTCTGCAAAGAAGCATTTTGTATTAGAAGCAAATTATATATTCAGCGTTTAAGAAAATAGGACTATTCAGAGCCATGTCATTGACATTTAATTTTCTGAATTAATCCTGAGGAAATCAACTTTAGGTAATATATAGAGTTCTCATGTTTGTGATACTTGATCAGCGATAACATTGTGTTTTATAGTCCTGAGGGAAGTTACACTGATGATGCAAACCAAGAAGTCCGCGGTCCACCCCAGCAGCATGGTCACCACAGTGAATTTGATGATGAGTTTGAGGACGATGACCCCTTGCCTGCTATTGGACACTGCAAAGCTATCTACCCTTTTGATGGTATGATTTTCTTAATATATCGTATTTGATAACATTGGTTCCTTAAAGTCTAAATACATTGAGTCACTCACTTTAGTGTCCTTAGGGAAATAATTCACTGGCAGAAAATTGTAATCTACTTCATTAGTATGCATACTGTGGCTTTAACTGTGTAACAAATACAGAGATTTTTCTCCCATACATAGAATTGAAAGAAAATATTCACATTATTAGTGCAATAGTTCAGATGATTATTTAGTTATCAACTTTGGTCAATACAGAATTTCCCCCAGAGTTGTTACTAATGCTTACATGTGGTTAACAAAGTTGAGGCAGCTTGAGCATAGCCCATCCCGGGAATGGCTGGCGGGTCGAACACGTCATGTTCTTCCTTGCAGCTTCCTGACATCAGGAGACAGGTAGAAGGCGTAGCTGAATGCCATCCTCATATCCTGACTCTGTGGGCCTTTTTAGATGAGAGTGGGAGAGGATGTGGTAGCTGCACCTCTGTCATCTTTTCTCCTGTGAGAGTCAGAGAGCGACTCTGTGAGGGCAGTGAGGCATGGAGGCCCTCTCCTACATACTTTTAAGTGCCCTTCCTTCTCTTGGCTTCTGAAAAGTGTTTTTCCTCAACCAACAGGATAGCAGAGAAACACCTTCCCAAGTAAATTGTTTTAAAATGTTAGATGGTTTCAGGTTTTTCTACTCACTTTGTATTGGTTTTAAAGTTGAGTGAAGTCTTTAGTAACTTCTCCTTTTGAGAAAACAGATGAAATTTAAGACCTGCAGTACAGTGGTATGCACCTGTAGTCCCAGCTGCTTGGGAGTCGGAGGCAGGAGAATCACTTGAGCCCAGGCTGGCAGCATAGCCAGACTCTATCTCTTAAAAAAAAAAGCAAGAAAGGAAGGAAGAAATGAATATCTTACTATAATCTAGAGAGTAGGGAAGGAACTTATCACATGTTCAGTAAAGATTCAGGTGTGAAAATTGTTACTACTAACCAAGTTGGGGGTGGCTAGGGGTGGGAAGAAAGGAAATTCTGAGGCTGATGAGGTCTTCAAGGAGAGTTGCGCTTTGCAACCATTCTGCTTCAAGGTCAAATCTGCATTCTTCTCTGCTCTCTCTTCAAACCGTATTCTTTCCTTCTCTCACCCTTTCACTGTCTTGTTACTGTTGTCCAGATCCGTACCTCATGAATTTTTTAGATAGCAACATTACTCAAAATTTGGAAAAGGAGATAGCATTGTGAAATAGGAGTTAGAATACCCCATCAAATCACATAGTGTCACTGTGGCTTGGTGATTTCATGTGTTACACGGGGTGACCTGAATTCAATATTATGGGTCTATCAAGCAGCTTAAATGAGAGATTGTATAGGAATGTGTTGGGTGAACTGAAAACATAACAGAGATGCTGTTGCTGGTGAGAGTCAGTGGGCTTGTGGCTCCAGGCACACTGCAAACTAGTAGGGTTTCATTTTATTTTGTGTGTTGTATTTGTAGTTTTTATTTAAAATTATCTCTGTGCTTAAATTGTGCTTGTGCTGTGAAAACTCTCATCTAGGACATAATGAAGGTACTCTGGCCATGAAAGAAGGCGAAGTTCTGTACATTATCGAGGAGGACAAAGGGGATGGATGGACAAGAGCTCGGAGACAGAATGGCGAAGAAGGCTACGTGCCCACATCTTACATAGATGTAACTCTAGAGAAAAACAGTAAAGGTGCAGTAACTTACATCTAAATAACCAGGCAGCCTATGCCATGTTGATACGGGACCGATAACATAAAATGAAAACACATTCAACAGGTTGGAAAAATAAGAAACGAAAAGGGCAGTTAAGGTGTGTTGCTCACTCTGTGAGTTGAGGGCAGGCCTGATCTTGGGAAGGGAAACTACTCGTGGCCCTTTACTGTTGAGTGGTGTTGGTGTGAAGCTTAATTGATGCCTTTTGCTTTATGTCCTGCTTAAGTCTGTGTGAAGGATTTGTGTTTTTCTGCCTTATAAATAATAGAATTTGATTTATTGGGCAGGAATCCATAGATAGTAATGCTCCCCTGCCCCTTGACTTCTGAAAACCCAGAGAGTACAGTGAACTCAAATAAGTAAAACTCCTTTGGAGTGCTGTGGAAAGCTGACTCCTCAGAGTGGGGTTTGTTCTAGGAGTTTGAATTGGTAGCTACGGTGTCCGGGAAGAAAAGAAGTAGTTGGGTAATTGGGCAAAATAATAATTCCATTTTCATTTTCTTCCTTTTTCTTAACTTTGATTTCCTAAAGGAAGGAAATAAGTACTCAGTACGTAATCTATTTTACTAGGGGGTTAATCAAGAGATCTACAAAAGAGGCTGGGCACGGTGACTCATGCCTGTGATACCAGCACTTTGGGAGGCTGAGGCGGGAGGATTGCTTGAGCTCAGGAGTTGAGACTAACCCAGGCAGCAAAGTGAGACCCTGCCTACAAAAAAAAAAAAATTAGCTGGGTGTGATGGTGTGTGCCTGTAGTCCCAGCTACTCAGGAGGTTGAGGCAGGAGGATCACCTGAGCCCAGCTACTCAGGAGGTTGAGGCAGGAGGATCACCTGAGCCATGATTATGCCACTGCACTCCAGCATGGGTGACAGTGAGACCCCCCCCCCTAAAAAAAGAGATCTATAAAAGAAATCATATGGTCTGGTTCTTAGGTGAATAAAGCGACTTTCTTTTGAGACCTCAAGATATTTTGTAGTTTTCTGATAATTTTCAATAATATACGAGCTTCCTTCCAAATTAATCTTATGCTTGTATTTTCATCTTGAAAATGTCTTTTGGGAAATATTAGCTTCTTGGCTATTTAGCATTTAACAGTAATATACAGGAAAAGGATAGTTAGTTACATTAGGAAAATATACATTCAAGATAGGGGGATTCTTGGGGAGGATGTACTGGCAAATTTTACTTTTAAAAGAAACAACTTTTTTTGACTGTTGTAGAAGATATCTGTACCACGTTGAGAACATTTTGTTATTTTAACTAATTGGAAGATTATTTTTCCAGTTAATTTAAACAAGCATTTGTTGGAGGATTGTGCAGTGCTGGTTGTGTGGTCACCCCTGAGTTAGTGGCGTGGGGAAGTAACTAGGGAAACAGTAGGACTGATCTGTGGTTTTGCTCGTGTTTCAGAATTCTCTGTTTTCAGTAGCTGACTGTACAGTGATTTTAGAGACATTCGAGACAGACACTTTAGACTGAACACCCCTTTTTGGTCGTACCAGAGGTCTTCAGTAATTGTTCTTTTCTTTTTCCTCCTGGACTGCAGGTTCCTGAAGAGGGTTTCTGAGGAAATGGGCAAGATGTGGAGGAGGTTTCATGCAGCTGCTGTGGGGGAGGGATTAGAGTTGTCAGGCTGAGAGAGAGAGAGAAACCAGTGCATGAATGCATGCAGACATGGTGATTTTTTACTAACTTCATTAGCATTTCCATACATTGTTTTTAAAAACCATTGTAATACCAATCTTTAAATTTGTAGTTTACAGTTATGAGCAAAAGAAAAAGGCCAACAATGGCTGACCATTTTTCTGTTTATTTTACTAATTTCTGGTCAGTAAAGAATTCAGAGTTGCCATCAATTGTCTTCCATTTGGCTGTCCCAACAGACCGTCTCCAGCCGGCTCTGTTTAGTTGGCTTGCAGACCCATGTCCCGCTAGCTCCTTGCCATGTCCGTGTCTGCCTGCGCCACCTCCGTGCTTGCTTAACATCCTGTTGCATGTCTAGCGCCATCGTGCTGGGTTTTTCAGGCATGTCTTTGTAATCCCTTGTTCTTGTCAAGCCTCTGTTCTGTTTTACGTTTGTCGTGCAAGCCACTTTGTCAGACATCTCCAGCACTGATGTTTCCATCCTAGTGTTTGTGTGTGCTGCTATGACTTCCCCACTGCCACTGCAAACATTCCAGTTTTGGCATTCCGAAGTAGTATGTGAACCTGAAGTATTTACGATAAGAAAAAGAAACATCTCTGCTCTAGCCTACAGCCCCATTGAAAGACTCTGAAACGTGATACATCTTCAGCACCTCAGTTTGGGAAGACTCCATCCATAGTCAGCACTGAAATCCTGGCATAACAAACCCAGAAGATACCACCTCCAGACAAAGGACTATTGTCAGAAGTCAGCTGCTTCCATTCAAATGCTGCCTTAAACTAGAGTGCCTAAATCTGTCGGTTGCCAACACTCCCACTCCAGTATCCCACAAAGGGCTTGATGTGTCAGTTCAGTGCGACCTCCTTTAACTGCAGCACTGCTGCAGCTGCCGACGGAGCCTTGGTCGGCTCTGCCGTGGACGATGGTGCATCTTCACATTTGTGCATCAGACTAAAGACAGTCCGAGTCCACTTTACTTTATTCAGTGTTTTTATGAGAAGTTTTACGGATCTCCCCTGTTGTCTTTTCATTTGGGGTTATGATGATCTCATTTGGTTATTACAATGATAGTCTGTTTCCAAGTGATGCTTTTGTTTGAACCCGATAAAATTTAGTGAAACTTTGTAATGATCTGTGCACTTTTTCTTGTAAAAGGGGAATTTCTGTATGTTTATACTTGTAAATATAATCGATGTTAGTGCTCCTTTTCCCATGTTGTCCTGCCTCGCCTCTGTGCTTCTGTTGATGACTTGTATCTTAACTGCTTTCTTAGTGCTGTTGTAATAGGGAGGTGGGTGGGGGCCGGGGGTTATTTGTACCACTAAAGCTTCATTAGTTTGGTTCTTTACTGTTTTGAGGGGAGAAGGCGAACGTGAACTGGTTTGTTATTGGATTTTAAGCAATATTTTAGATGCTGTGTGAAGCTCTAATAATTTCCCCCAGTGTTATTTGAATCATACTACCAGTTACACTAAAGCTGAATGACAGTTGTGTGAAAGTTAATGCCTTCATAAGAACAAGTACACCACTGCTACACAGCTGGCATAGTGTGTTACCTTTGCGACTAGTAAACTATAAAGTTTAGATATTGAATCTCGTTACAGGGTTATTTATATAATGTGACATTACTCAGTACTGATGGACTACATGAAGTAGTTTTAAAATCTGTGCTATTTTTATGTTAAAGGTTAGCGGTGAGGAAGAAATGTGATCTGGCTGTGTTTGTCTTCTGTACAGAGCCTGATGTGCTTATGTGTTTTTGGCTAACAGCCACAGAGGGCAAAGTGTAAGACTTTCTTGTAAGAACTAACTGTTCTTTTCAAGCTACTGTTTGTTTTTCTAGAAGCAGGATTTGCTTCCATGGGAGGCAAGCTCCTTCATGTGGAATAGTGCAACTTGTATATGGATTATGATGGTAGGAGAGACATTTGTACTTGCACAGTTTAAATCATTCTTAAATCATTCTTAAATTTTGAACATGTGAATTGTCTAAGAGAAATCTTTAATTTTTCAGTAATTTTTACTCTTTTTGTGCACATGTTGATTTCTTAATGGTAAATGCTTTGTTTAAGATAGTGTTCTCTGTTGAGAATATTTTCATGGAATAAAACAATCTTTTCATGGCCGGTTAAGGTGTACAGTGTGTTTATCTCTTATTTCTGTGTGTACCAAAGAGATGTAATGGTTTTGTCCTTGAATGTGCTAAATTTCAGATAATACAAAGAAGATGACAAGTTCCATAAGTGGGCAACCTGTTTTGCCAAGTGGTTTTAGAAATTTTATTCTAGTTTTGGTTTCTCTCAAGCTTCCCTAAAGGGTTGAAATGGCATGTAATAATTTGGATTTATCTTCGTTCTACAGTAGCTGTGTTGCATAGACTTTCCTTGTGCCCTGTCTTATCCTCTGCATCTGTGAGGACTGTCTTGTCCCACGAAGCCTGATATAGCCACCCACCCTGGGCCAGCACTTTATGTGTGGCTGCTTATTCTCGGTCAGAGAGAGAGCCTGAGTCTTCCTGGCATTTCAAAGCATGGAAAGATAATGTAACTTAAGGAAGTCTAATTACAGAAGATTCATCTTTTTTAAAAGGCAAATGTGAAACTATGGTGCAAATTTTAGAACCCAAAAAGGGAATAAAACTCAGGGTGGAGTGTGAACAATGAGAGGTTACAGTTGTTGAGATGAAATTTGAGATCAGTAGCCAAGACTTGAAGTCAGAACACACAACACAATGAAAAAACAGCAGGAAAATAGTGTCAGCATTATAGTTTCAGATGAGCAGTGATTTGGCAGAAAGAAAAAGCTCAAAACAATGAAAAGGGCTTTTACTATCTGAACTAAGATCAGGGAAGTCCCATCCTACTTGCTAGGAAAGATTAACATCCTTATAACAATATTAACAAAAGGAACTGGTCTCCCGGCTTAGTGAAAATGACTTCTTTTGATGAGGGTATAGACTGAATATTCCTTATCTGAAAGGTTTTTGGGACCAGAAGCATTTGGGACTGAAAATGCAAAATCTGAAATGCGCCAATGAGCATTTCCTTTGAGCATGATGTTGGCACTCAAAAAGTTTTAGATTTTGGATTTTCAAATTTGGGATGCTCAAAGTGTATTAGTTTAGGTGTGAAAAAGATGCTTAAGAAACACTGAACCTACTTCAATGAACTCATTTGATCTAGGATCAGATGTATTCCTGAGTATAGTCACTGTCAGTAATTAGGGAAACTATAGAAAATATAAGAAGTACCAGAAGATTGCGGAATGGGCAAACATTTTAAAGAGTAAATTCTGTGAAGTTGGACAGCCCTTAATGGTACTAGATAATGTTGTTAGCAGTTAGGAGAAAATGTGTAGTGGGCAGCCATTTTCTAAGTTCCTAAGAATAAGTCATGCCAACTTATGTTGTTAGCAGTTAGGAGAAAATGTGTAGTGGGCAGCCATTTTCTAAGTTCCTAAGAATAAGCCATGCCAAATTAGTCCCATTCCTTTCTTTTGGTACAAATGAGGGGATTCTAAGACATAATTAACCCTTTGCACTCAGAGACATCTTGCGAATCACCTCCCAGCAACTCGACCATATTTTTTCACAAAATAGTGAAAAATGAATCACTTCATATTAAATAGAATAGCATTGGAACCAATTATTTTATTGTAATGATTGTTTGGCTTATAATGGAATTTTTGACATTGAACTTATTTATGATAAAATCAATTTTATATCATATTTTTCTAACGTGTGGTAATGTGTGAAATAGTCACTGACATGCATTGCAGATTCATTGATACATGTTGTGCAATGGTAACTTGTTGGACGTCTTCCATCTGGTGTTTTTCTATTTGAGCACAGTGTAGTCTCGTTTCCTTCCTCCCACATTAATAATAGGCAATTTATTGTCCAGTCTGTGCACCACTGTGAAAGCACTTCATTCATTCTCTTTCTGTGTAACACTGTTTTTTTAAAAATGTATGTGTCAGTATATATTCCATCTCTTTATTTGCTTTTTCATGAAGTTTGAATGGAAAACTTCAAGGGAACATGCATTTTTGAACAATTTGCACTGGCATACATAAAATTTGTCCTGAGTAATCACCAGCAATTGTTGTTTCCTGGATTTACAATGTTCCCCTCAGAGTGGACATCTGAGTGCAAAGTGTCTTGCTTTCAGCACAATTTTGATTTGACAAGATTTTCCACACTTTTTTTTTAAGGTGGTGACAACATTATGGAGAGAATGGGGGCTTATGACAAGCTGATCAGGTAAACCTGGAATCTCCACTCTGAGGAGAGTCTTGTGGATATATGTATGCATATTATGAACCATTATAAAATAAACAAGTTAATGATATAAATTTCATTATTTCTCAGAAACCACACATGCAGGACTTGCTGTGGATTTACTATTATTTATTTCAGGTGTTGAGTTTTCTCTGGTTTCCTAAGCCCTTGGGTGGGAGGAGCTCTGGCAGCCAAACAGAGGGGGACCTACTTTGTTCATCCCCCAAAGAAATGCCCTACCCTGCTCATGGGGTGGAGCTCTAGTAGCAGCTGGCGGGAAGCATGGGCAGACACTGGCTCCTGTGATGTAGTCATGGCCCCTTAGACGGGTTTCTAAGGTTTTAAGTTTTTTGACGGCTTACTCTGTGGTGGAGAGTGCATCCACCTGCCTTGTGCATTTTGAGGAGGTGCATCCAGAAGAGTATTCTCTTGCAAGTGATGACACACCTCCTGCTGTGGCCTCCCCTTTCCCTTGGGTGGTGTCCTGACAGGAGTGGCACGTGGATCTGCTCTCTCCACTCTCCCCCTACTTGCCTGGGCAGACCATGCCCCTCCAACTCTGCTCCAGAAGCCCTGGCAGGCTTGACGAGGGCACTGTTACTGTCCGCTTCTCCTTCTGCCTTTGTCCTGTTTCATAACTAGCATCCAACCAGTCAGTGGTGGTTTCCTGATTGACCAGTGTGGGGAACACCATCTGGGTGTGAGATGAGACAGAACCCAAAAGCTCTCAGTTCTCGCCAGCTAAGATCAGCAATCCCCAGCTACCAGTCCCTTTTCCTCCCTCTCTCCTCACTTGTCTGTGGCTGGTTGCTCCTGCGACTGCCTCCTGGTGTATAGCCAGCACCCAGATGGTGCCCTGCTGTCTGATGAGGTAAGAGTTGAAGTGGGCATCATCTGCATATCCCCTCTCTTATGGTGCCAGACAGCGCATTAGTGAACTCATGACTGTCAAAATGGAACGGGGGGCATCATGGGAAGTCTGCAGTTGTCTGTGTCAAAGCAAAGGGGCATTGCTTACCTCGTGACAGCCATATCAAACAAAAGATTGTGCCAATTCATTTGTTTAAACAAATGATTTGAAAATTATTAGTGATGGATGAATAATTTGTGCTACTTTTGCCACTTGATAAAGTTTTATGTTTTTTTAAAGAATAGTTACTTTGTTGATTTGCACATTGATTTATATATTCATTAATGTATGTGTTATATATATTTTTAGTAACATCCCACTTATCATTTATTTTGAATATCCCATTGTGTCTTGGGACTTGCTGTTTTACTCAGCATTGTATCTAAGATTTATCCATGTTCATGCATGGTTCATTTTACCGTGTATGGTATTCCATTATATAAATAAGCACAGTTTGCCCATTCTCTTGTTGATGGGCATTTAGGCTAGTACCTGAATTTTGTGAGTAAAAACAGTGCTGCTTATCCATGTGCTTAGGCATGCTTGCTAACATGAGTTTCTCAAAAATCTGTAACTAAGAGTGGAATTGTTAGGTTATGGATTATGTTAATTTTCTATTCTAAAAGAGAGTGCCATAGCCGGGCTCAGTGGCTCAGTCTGTAATCCCAGCATTTTAGGAGGCCGAAACGAATGAATTGCCTGAGCCTGCGGGTTCAAGACTAGCCTTTTACAACTTGACGAGACCTCATTTCTACAATAAATAAAAATGAGCTGGGTGTGGTAGCGCACACCTATAGTTCTGGCTACTTGGAAGGCTGAGGTGGAAGGATCGCTGGAGTCCAGCAGGTTGACGCTGAAGTGGCCATGAGTGTGCTACTGCACTCCAGCCTGAGCAATGGAGTGAGACTCCAACTAAAAAAAAAAAAAAAGGAGTGCCACATCTTCCTCCCAAAGTTATTGTAACATTTTTACACTCCTACACGCATTGTTAAGGTTTACTCACAATCTGTATCCTGGCTAGCACTTAGGTGTCACATTCCAATTTTTATCAGTTCAGAGGATGTAAGGGCATTTCCTTGTGGACTTACCTTGTGTTATCCTGATTGTTGATACTAAGCATCTTTTTATGTTTACTCTGTTTTCCTTTCTTGGAAAAGCCGATGTTTATCTTCATCCTGTTTTGGAGGAGATTGGTTGCCCTTCCATCTCTATTTGTGTGAGTTATTTATGTATTGAGGATGCTAATTGTGTTAGTCGACTCTTACCATGTAACACAGCTGGCTGATTTTGGCTCAGTTACTCAAGAGGTTTCTCGAGGCTTTGACAGGCTGGAGAGCCCACTTCGAAGGTTATCTTTGTGGTTGTTGGCAGGCCTCAGATCCTTCCTGCTGTTGGCCAAAGGGCTCAGTTCCTTGCCACGTGGTCCTCTCCATGGGTTGCTCCCAAGGTGGGATCTTGCTTCCCCAGAGAGAGTGATCCAGGACTCAGGATGGAAGCTGCAGCCTTTCTATGGCCTGACTTCAGACGTGGCATGCCTTTACTTCTGCACAGACCAGCCCTGTAGGGTGTAGGGAAGCAACACAAGGGTGGACCCCCAGGAGGAAGGGGACACTGGAGCCATCATGGAAGCTGCCCACCACACTAATCCTTTGTCAGTTTTATGTGTTGCTCATATCTGTTTTTTCGGTTTTGAATAGAAGTTCTTCATTTTAATGCAGATTTATCAATATTTCATAATTACTTTTTTCTCTCTAATTTAAGAAATTCTTACTTGACAAAGTATGAAAGACAATTCTGGACTGTCTCCTACACCAGAAGCCTTAAGTTTTTCATACTACTTTGCCTTTCACATGTAGATTCTTAACTCATCTAGATTTTATTTTTGTGAATGAGGAAAGGACCACTTACCCCTTCATTCATTTAACCAATTGTTCAAGAATTATTTATTTTTAAAAGTCAGCCTTTCCCCCACCGATCAGCAGTATTACGCTTCATATATTAATTTTCTAATGGTAGTGTTGTTATTATTGTGGCTTAATCATGAGTCTTTTAGATCTGGTAGGCACCACCAACTGAGACCATTGTAAATCAGTTTCTTGGTTTTTGATTCTTTTTACTCTAGACCTAGAGGACAGGCCTGTGATTGCAAATCCTCATGCATTCATTATACTTCTTCCTGGAGCTGATGTGAAGACAGGCATGTTTCCTGGCAAGTGCCCTTTGCTGGCAGGTGGTTTGTTTTCCCAGCCTGTTAACAGGGGCCCTCTAAGGATTCCCACCCACTGGAGGTGTTTCATGTTCCGCTCCTCCGAGACAGAGTTCGTTCCTTGAGCTGGCATTACTGTTTGCTTCTAGGTCTACGTAAATTTCTGTTTTCACATGAAGTCAATTTAAATTTGCTGTACCTCTTTCAGGTGACATGGGAAGGGAGGTTTGTTCCTTGGGGATTTACCTTTTGTTCTATCAAGGTTGATCATACATTAAAAGGTATGTTTATTCGCGGTCTAAAAAAAAAATGCATTCAGAGCCGGCCTCGGTGGCTCAGCCTATAATCCCGCGCTTTGGGAGGCCGAGGTGAGTGGATTGCCTGAGCCCACAGGTTCGAGACCCGCCTGGGCAACTTGGCGAGACCTCATCTCTACAATAATTCAAAAAATTAGCCGGGCATGGTAGCGCGCGCCTGTAGTCCCAGCTACTTGGAAGGCTGAGGTGGAAGGATCGCCGGAGCCCAGCAGGTCGAGGCTGGGCGACAGAGTGAGACTCCAACTCAGAAAAAAAAAAATGCATTCAGAACTAACTTAGCTATATTATAGTGAGAGGATTTTCTAAGAGCATCTGAACCACTGTATTGCCAGAAGTGGAAGTGCACTTTGGGTTTTTCAGCAAATAAAAAAATAATAGGATGGTGCTTTAAAAACTGGGAGCAGGGCCTCCTGATTCTAGGCTCGTTAATGGAAGCGCAGAGCCCAGGATATGAAACGAGTATGCCCTTTGTATTGCGTAGACCACAGTGAGAGTTTCATACTTAGTTCTACGATGACCGACAATAGGATGATGGTGAAGTTACAGTATAACTTCTGTAACCAATAGACCATATTTTTTCCAAGACTAACATTATGGAGAAGTTTTCACAGCTGGTTGGAGAAAAGGTGGATATACAAGTTGGTATGGTCCCATTATTGCTTAAAAGACAGGCAAAAAAACCAAATTGTTAAATGTTTGACAGCTGGTGGCAGAGTGACAGAATATTTTAAAGTCTTGTATTCCAAATTTTGTACAACAGGAAAAAATTGAGAGAGATACTGATAAGCTTTGGAAAGTCAGAAACCTAGAAAACAGTCCTAGAAAACTCACTGTTGTGCTTATCAGCTAGAGGAAAAGATAACACCTGACTCCTCTGAGATATGTAAACTGCCATGTGGGTGCTCAGCCTATACAAGATGCTTTGCTCCATGTGGGACTTACCCAGGTCAACTTGGCCAAGTTCAGCTGCCTGCAGACACCAGAGCTTGCGCCTGAACCCAGCCCTCCTGGGGCATTTCTACCTGTATCCCTATTCAGTCTGTCTCCTATACCAGAAACCTCGAGGTTTTCATACTACTTTCATTAATTCTGGTTTACTATTGGGATACAGTGGCTAGGGAAGAAAGTGCCTTAGGGGGCTGGAGGTAGAATTACTGTACCGAGACGAGTTGCTTCGTATTAAAGAGACTGGACACAACTGTTTCACAAAAAGATATATTTTCATTCATGACTATTTACACTTTTCATATTTATTTAAAGAATATCATACAACTGATACCTTCTGAAATGTTTCATGCTTTTAAACTCTTCTATTTACACTTATCTGACATGGAATTAAAACTACAATGGTCAAATACCATGATAATAGAAAGCAACCAGCCAACATAGCTAAGTCTTCTCTTTAAATTTGCTGATCACCATTAGCAATAGTTACCGTAATAATAAATTATCATTTAAGAATCAGTAGTAATTTTAAGCAATTCATAAATAAGTGTGCTCTCCACAATTTACACGTTTAATATCCTGTGGATACTAACAGCTTGTCTATTGTCAGATTTGCACATTATTACTTTATCAAGTGATAGGCTTTCCCAGAGAAGCTTGCAATACAATCTTAAGATTCTCTGGAGAGTTATCAGAGCTCTGCCTGCTTCACGGGAGGGGGTTCCAGTTTACGGGAGAGTGCAGTTAGAATCTGGCTGAATTTCTCATATCTCTCTGTCTGATTGACTTGTGCACCTTTGCTGCCCCATAGCAATCGAATTTGAAATTCGGTCTTGAAGATTTCACTCATTTCTTCATCTGGTTGAAAACCTAATCGAAGCAAAACAAAACCACCAGAAATGTTACTTCAGTTCTGCCTAAAAACAGTGTTAGAGATAGACTGAAAACTGGCTTGTTTAACAGTAGGATCAAATCAAACTTCATCTTCTCTCAGAACTTGAAAAGATGCCCCCAAAGAAAAATGTAGCATCTGCTCCCCAGAAACTAAGCACCTGGCAAACTTACCCAGTAGAATTTTAATCTGTGTACACGTAGCAATGGAGGTGGTGCTGTGGGAGGAAGTGTTCTTGTTACCTTGTTTTTGTTTTTAGCCACTCTACAAATGTGTCATTTGCATGCCATGTAATTCACCTGCTTTAACTGCAGTTGGATTTATGATAGATGTGCGCAGAACAACCGTCACCACCAGCTACAGGGCCCTCCTGGCCCCCCAGCTCCTCTTTGCAATCAGCCCTCGTTCCTACCCCAGACTCCAGCCAACTATTGATCTGCCTTCTGTTGCTACTGTTTATTCTTTTCTAGAAACCGGACATAAATGGAATCATCCAATATGGACTTTTTTATATCTGACTTCCGTCACCTGTGGCATGATGCTTCTGAGATTCTTCCATATCTTGCATGTTACCATTATCAATTCATACTGTTGAGAAGTATTCGGCTATAGGGACATACCACATTTTGTTTATACATTCACCAATTGATGGCCATTTGAACTGTTTCCAGTTTCTAGATACTATGAATAATGTGTACATTTATGGACAAGTCAGTGTGTAGACATATGTTTGCATTTTTCTAGAAAAATTATTGGGTCATATGGTAAGTATATGTTTTATTTTAAAGAAATTGTCAAACTCTATTCCAAAATGGCTGTACCATTTTATAGTCATACCAGCAACACATGAAGATTCCCATTTCTCCACATGCTGCCAACCCTTAGTTTTGTCATTCTTTTACGGTGTAGCCATTCTAGATCGTGTGATGATATCTTATTGTGGTTTAAATTTACATTCTCTAATGAGGAATGCTTTGAACATCCTTTTGTGTAGTTTTCATTTGTATATCTTCTCTGATGTAGCATCTATTTAAATTTTGTTTTTTCATTGAGTTGTAAGAGTTCTTTGTATATATGCTATATACAAATCCTTTATCAGATACACATTTTAGCAAATATTTTCTCCTAGTCTGTGTCTTGTCTTTTCAAGTTCTTAATGGTATATTTTGAAGGCCAAAAGTTTAAAATGTTAATGTATCAATGTTTTCTGTTATGGTCCATGCTTTTCGTGTCCTAAAAAATCTTTATCTAACTCAAGGACACAAATAATTTCTCCTAAGTTTTCTTACAGGAGCATTATGATTTAGCTCCTACATTTTGGGTCTCTGATACATTTTTGATTAATTATTGCACATGGTATGAGGTAAGAATGAAGAGTCTCTTTTTTGCATGTGGATATCCAGTAGTTCTAGCAAGTTTTGTTGAAAGACTATGCTTTATCCATTGAATTTACCTTGGTACCTTAATTGGCAGCCACATATGTGGGCCTGTTTCTTGACTCTCTGTTCTAAGAGGAGATCTGGTCTACTTAGGGCCACAGATGCTCGAGTGACTCTAATAGAGATGGGGAAGCCTCTAGCCAGAGTCATCTGGTCTCTATCCTTGCTCATTGCTAGGGTAGTTTGCTTTGTTTATGGAATATATTCCCACCATGTAAATGATAGGACCTTGGTGGTGGAAAAAACAACAGAAGTCTCTTCTTGCTGATGATGCCAAAATCTCTTTAGCAGGCAACCAGGCCAGGGCCAGGTGGTGACTTCCATTTATTCAGTTAACATGCTTTGAGCACCCACCCTGGGCCGGGTGCTGGTGATGTGGTGAACAGACCTCTGCCTTTCCTGGGTTCACTGTCACTTCCAGCGGTGGGAACTTACTCTACAAATTTGTGGCAGGATAAGCTGAGAAATTCCATCATCTACCTTTAAAGTGATTTGCTGTGGAACAGCTTATGACACACTTTTCTCAACACCCTTCCTGATATATTGGCTTATGCAACATCCGATGGTATACATTCATTGGCTTTGTATAATTAGGCACTCTGATACCTGTTAAAGTGTGTGCTTTTACTGTTTGAGTCCCATGTTGCCAACCCCGGAGAATTTTTTGAGGGGAAGAAATGAAACAGGTCTGTGATGCTTATACCCACAGCAAACACAGTGCAAACTGTCCAGCCCCACATTCTGGTTCTGCAGTAACAACTTTCTTTTAGGATGAAATCACTAGGCCTTGCTGCCCCAATAGTCCTTAACCTAGCGAATCAAACTGTGGGCCTTGAAGAATTTTAACAATTATACAGTAAGAGAAAACAGTCATCTCTGTTGATGGCCTTGGCAGAGCTCCCCTTCCAGCTTCTTAGGTGGTCTTTCTGCCATCAAGCCCTCAGCCCTGCACCCTTCCTCTACATGAATGCCAGGATAACTGACTTTAAAACATCAGTCAAACGTGCAACGATGCCCACGTTTAAACCCTTCATGGGCTCTTCCTCAGTCACAGTCCTGTGGGCAGGCCCTGCCACTCCCTGTGCAGCCTGGCTGGCCATTCCTCAGGTCATACCTCCCGCTCATCCAGACCTAGGTACTTATGGGTCCTGCCCATCCCCACTCCCTCAGCGTCCATCTGCTTCCTGGCTGGCTGCTTTGGCTTTCCACAATCCACAGGGGTTGCTTCCTCTTTCCCTGAATCTGACCAAATCATGTCCTTTTCCCAAGTGCTCCCATCGTACGAGCCACACTTCCTGAGCACCTTGAGGACAAGCAGTTAGCATGGTGCCGTGCACATACCATGCCTGTGACCTATGTCTCCTAAGCTAACTGAGGGGGCTGCTTTCCATGACCCTAGTGCTTACGAGAAGGACCCGCTTACACAAACACTGTGCAGTGCTTTCCAGAATGTGTCTGAGGCTAAAGGCGGGGTGCTTACTTCCCAGTGTGACTGGGAGGAGCAGGAATGCAGGTAAATGAGCTCCAGATAAAACACCACCTTCTTGCCCCACCCGCCACACCTTTCCTAGTCTCACCTCTTAGAGGTACTCACAGTAGGCTAGCTGGCTAATTCTTGACCCCCTCTCTGTTTATTCTGTACCACCAATACAACAGAACACATGAGAAAGGAGGAACGGGGCACTTGAGTCACTTTGGAATTAAGAGGAAGTAATGATCAGCCACATGGAAAACAGTGTTTCCAGGCCTTAGACATTCCTCCTTGGTCTCTTTCTAATTGAGGGCATCTGCGCTTCCATGTCTTCATTTCAATTACTACCCCGAGTTAGACCAGCAGCTTGCAAAATCACTCTGACCTGCCAGGATCCTCTCAGCATTCGCGCGGTAGCTGTCAGCAGCCTCAGCCATGAGTCGGGCTGTTGCCAAGTGGTTCAGCATAATTTCACAGCTTTGGTCATTCTTTTCCCACATGTCAGTTCCTTCAAAAGTGACAGCCTGGCGCTCCATCAGGGTCACAAGGGGCATCAGCAGCGGGACTGACACATTGCTTGGGGGAACACACGTGGACTCTGAAGAGCAAGGAGCAGAGTTTCCATATCATATTTTTTTTCAGAGTTAAGCACAGCATGAGGCCAAGTCTTGTTACAGCAACTGCAGACCTGCAAGTGATGCTGTCATCTAATAAAAGCCTTCACAAGCCATCAACGGTCCTGCAGATATTGCGGGGCCTCGAAATATGCCACTAAACGCTTTGATAACTGGGACAGACAGACCTGTGCACACCCCTGCGGGACAGCCCCCGAGCCCACCCCCGCCCCTCTGCCCTGTGCCCACCTCTGCCTTCATGCAGGATTTTGCTGAAGGGCTTCAGCTGCTTCTCATACAGGATGGCCGTCTGGGTGTACCGGTGCCGCAGGGCAGTCCATGTTTGTTCCAACCTTGTGATCTGAAAGGGAGTTGTTTTCATTTGGGAAAGGCTCTTTTCAAAATCACTTTTTGCTTACATTTTGGAACCGGTGAGAGGTGCACATGGTAAAAATGTCAAAGTGATTGAAGACTACAGAGAAAAAGTAATCCCCGTCCCACCCCGTCTACACTGCTGTAAGACGTCCTGGAGACAAGTCTTCTCTTGGGCTGTGTGTGGTGTGTGCGCGCCTTCACACACAGCCTGGTCTGTTGGTTCAGATGTCAATATTCTGGGCAGTTTTAGAAGAGAGGAAATAAACATGATGCAAAACACACACCTGAATGAAAAATTGTAACTCTGTTAGAGTAGAAATTAGTGTGTCATGAAAATATGGCAGAGTTTATGAGCTGCTTATTTCAAATATCAATCCTACAAACTTCCAGTGTACCTAAAGAATTCTGAAAGCTATTTAAATACTATAATTGGGACTGACCCCCAAAAAGTTCCTGTCTGTGCACATACTTTTTAAAAAAATAAATGCAGGCCGGGCTCAGTGGCTCAGCCTGTAATCCCAGTACTTTGGGAGGCCGAGGTGAGTGGACTGCCTGAGCCCGCAGGTTCGAGACACATCCAGGCAACTTGGCGAGACCTTGTCTCTACAATAAATCAAAAATATTAGCCAGGCGTGGTAGCGCACACCTGCAGTTCCGGCTACTTGGAAGGCTGAGATGGAAAGATCACCGGAGCCTAGCAGAGGCTATGGTGGCCGTGAGCGTGCCACTGCACTCCAGTCTGGGTGACAGAGTGAGACTCCAACTCAAAATAAATAAATAAATAAATGCATATCATACTATATATTTCTGTCCATTGCTTGGAAATCAATACATACAAATACATATAGAACAGCCTTATTTTGTTAAACTTCTGCATATTTCACCGTATGGATAAACAATAGTCTAATCTCTTGAAGATAAGAGTTTTAAACATATTTTGCTATTATAAAATTACCTCACAAAGATTTTGCAAACGTGTACATGTGTAAAAACACTTCAACTTATATGTTACAATATATAAATTTCCAGAAGTAGAACTTCTGGACCAAAGAGTACATGTATTTTAAATGTTGATGGGTGTTGCCTACTGTCCAAGATAGAGGTTGTAACAAGTTAAGGATGTAGGAATGTAATGGAAAGCATTTGAATATTGCCTGTCTGAGACGCACAGAGGATGGCCCAGACCACAAGGCCGTTCCTCATTTCTTTCTTCTGAACAATTTAGTCAGCACCAGTGTGTGCCACTGACTCTGACTATCCTAAAATAAATGGTCCCCCACTCATACCATATAACCAGCAAGCCTGAGTCAAGCTTTTTTTTTTCTTTCAGTCAGGGTCACGCTTTGTCACCCAGGCTGGAGTGCAGTGGCATGATCATGAAAATCACAGCTCACAACAGCCTTGACCTCGGGGGCTCAGGTGATCCCTCCACCTCAGCATCCCAAGTAGCTAGAACTACAGGTACATGCCACTATGCTTAGCTAATTTTTTTACTTTTTGTAGAGACAAGGTCTCACTATGTTGCCCAGGCTGGCCTCGAACTCCTGGGCTCAAGCAATCTTCCTGCTTTGGCCTCCCAAAGTGCTGGGATTACAGGCATGAGCCACCGTGCCTGGCCAATTGTAAAGTTTTCTACCTGAAACAAGGAAGGGCAAGAGTATTTAGGGAATGAGAGCCAATTTTGTGTCAGGTATTTGAAGAATTTCATTTAATCTTCACAGGCCCTCTTGGACATGTATTTCGGCTCATTTTACAGATAAGAAAGAGATTAGGTCACTTGCCCAAGGCTTCCCAGCTGGTGAGTGGCAGGTCAGTGAGATTCACTTACTTGCCAAGAACGCCCTGTGTATTCCAAGAGGAAGGGGAGGAAGCTTAGCACCAGCAGACTTGCTGGGAAGAAAGGGCTGTGGCTAGCCTGCCTCTGGCCCATCATGCTGGCCTCTCTTCTGGGAGGCTCCCTCCCCTGCCCAGTCCCTGAAGCATCAAGTCCAGGCTGGGCCCTGTCTCCTGCATGCACTCTCTTGATCCCAGAAGCTGAGAACAGAAGGCAGCACATGTGGCTGTAATCCAAGGACTGGTTTGGGTGGTGACACACAGGGATGTGACTCTCTCCTTGGGTTTCCCTTGTGTGCCATCTACAGTTGCAGGGCTCACCCCAGGCCCTGAACACTCTGGAGGCCGGCGTCCCTGCACTTTGAGGTGCTTCAGAAGGGAAGGGCTGGCAGGCTGGAGGGGAAGGAGCAGCCCATAAAGTGCAGTTGGGACAAGCCCCTGACTGCAAGTCTGGCAGCACACACCATGTGATCCCACAAAATACCCCTTGCTTCCGTCAGAGGAAGCTTTGGGCTGAGGGCTTCACACACAGCCTGGCCAGTTGGCTTAGCTGTCAATATCATAGGCAGTTTTGGATGAGAGGAAATAAACATGATGTAAAGTAAAACACTTGAATGAAAAATTGTAGCCCTTAGAGTAGAAATCAATATATCATGAAAATATGGCCGAATTTATGAGTTGCTTATTTCAAATATCAATCCTATAAAATTCCAGTGTACCCAATTTTGAAAGCTCTTGAAATATAATTGAAACTGAACCTCCAAAAATCCTGATGAAGGCACTATGTTGTTCAAGTCTTGCTTTTTTTGTTTTTTTTTTTGAGTTGGAGTCTCACTCCATCGCCCAGACTGGAGTGCAGTGGCCGCTCCCGGCCACCGCAGCCTCGACCTGCTGGGCTCCGGCGATCCTTCTGTCTCAGCCTTCCAAGTAGCCGGAACTACAGGCGCGCGCTACCACGCCCGGCTGATTTTTTGATTTATTGTAGAGATGAGGTCTCGCTGCCCAGGTGGGTCTCGAACCCGCGGGCTCAGGCAATCCACTCACCTCAGCCTCCCAAAGGCCCGGGATTACAGGCTGAGCCACCGAGCCCGGCTCAATTCTTGCTTTTAAGGTGAGCTTGCTTTGATGCAAGGAAGTCATGCTCCTGCCACGCTGTGACTTGCAGGCCCTGTGACTGTAGCTGTCATTCTCAGCAGCAGCTGTGGGATATCAGTGAGCACCTGGCAAGACTTCTGAGGCAATCTGGGGCTATGAAATATCCAAGCTACAGGACCAGCAGTTTTGGGCTTACTGGTTGCACAGTTTGCTACAGGACTGTACTCTCTACTCAAGAGCCCTCCAAGCACCCAGGGCTTGGAAGAACAGCCCATTCTGAGCAATAAAGACAGCAGAATGACATTCCTTCCTGAGGCCTACCTGATTGCAAATACGGGTTGACACTCATCCTAAAACCCCCAGCAAATCGATTCAAATGCCTGATTCAGAAACTCTAAGTAGGGGGTGATATAGCAGATGGGCCAGGAAACTGAAATTTTCTTTTTTGAGTCACTGTCTCATTGTCATTGAGCCTGTTGCCCAGGCAGGAGTGCAACGGTATGCTCATGGCCACCGCAGCCTTGACCTGCTGGGCTTAGGTGATCCTTCTGCCTCATCCTTCCAAGTAGCCGGAACCACAGGTGCATGCCACCACCCCCAGCTAATTTTTTTGATTTTTTTGTAGAGACAAGTTGCCCCAGCTGGTCTCAAACCTGTGGGCTCTGACTCCTAAATGCTGGGATTACAGGCATGAGCCACCACGCCCAGCCAGAATCTGAATTTTTTTAACAGGAGAGTGTCTTAGGTGACCTGAGGGCCATATTTAAGATAAACACTCTGGGAGTTCTCTGATAGAAGCTCCCCAAACATCTCATTTTCCCAGAAATTATCCCAAGTTGCCAAAAACCTAGAGATCCATATGGAAGCGGTCTTTTTTCTATACAACACACTGTAGCCAGACGGCTCATCCTAATGGTTGACCAGGAATACCGATTGTTCGTGAGGATGACATTTGGAATTGTACATCAGAGGAAGCACACACTGTCAGCAGTTGTCCACTGCTTTTAAATGAGAGCCAAAGTACTTGGGACACTGCTCTTGGCTGTCCCTTAATCGAAGCAGCTTTCACTGATTCAGTCTACTTCTTGAGAGTGACTAGGACAGTCTGTGATTTGCTAAGCAGGGCGCAGATTCCTCTGCAGACCACAAGCCCACACAGGCCCAAGGGGCTGCAGAAGGCCAGCGGAAATTTACCTGTGGCATTTCCAGGGCTTTCATGACGGCCGAGAAGGAGTAGAGGTCCCCCATGGACTCCTTCAGCTCCACGGCCACCTGGATGATCCTGTTGAGGGTGGCCGCTCGGTCCTCCAGCGTGCCCGTGCAGCCCAGAAGGTCCACGGCGATGCCGATGGCCATCGTGTTGTGCCTAAGAGGGAGATCAGTGGTCAGGCCCAGGGCCAGTGGGGCCAGGAGAAGACCAAGCCACATGGGCCAGAAACAGACTGCCTCTATACCGTGTGCTGCTGCTGCTCACAAAGTGCTGGCGGCAGACAGCTTACACGGTCGATCTCAGCATGGGCGACTGCGGCGGGGTCCGCGTCAGGCCACAGAGGGAAGCACTATGCAGTCAGGAAGCGAGGTGCCCCAGGATGGGGCCCAGTTCAACCCTGGGCAAAGCTGCACACAAGTGAGTGCGGTTCCTTGTACCCCTCCCCCAGAGGTCCCCTCAACACACACATCCTGGGAGTCTCTCTTCAGGGAGGCCTGGGCCACTCCACTGGGCCCCCTGGACTCGGGAACAGAAGGGACAGAAAAATGAGAGGATGTGCTTGACCCAGGAAGACATGCAGGTTTCAGAACAGAGGAAGACAAGAGGAGCTGAGAATGGTGTTCTCAGTCCCAGTTAGGTGACTGGAGACGTGGACAAAGATGGAGCAGATGATGGGGAGGAATCTGGGCTGGAATCTGCCTGCAAGGCCAGACCCTCATGAAATTGAAACCCAACGGGGCTCGGTGGCTCAGCCTGTAATTCTGTGCCTTTGGGAGGCTGAGGTGAGTGAATTGCCTGAGCCCACGGGTTCGAGACCCGCCTTGGCAGCGAGACCTCATCTCTACAATAAATCAAAAAATCAGCCGGGCGTGGTAGCGCATGCCTGTAATTCTGGCTACTCGGAAGGCTGAGGTGGAAGGATCGCCGGAGCCCAGCAGGCGAGGCTCCAGTCTGGGTGACCGAGTGAGACTCCAACTCAAAAAAAAAAACAAGAAAAAACAAATTGAAACCCGATACCCCCAACAATCCTCCCTTTTCTCACCCTGAACTACACGACCCATGACCTCACAGACCCAGAACAGGAAACGTGGTGATCTTTTCTCTCCATGACAGGAGGACTAGTATTCACAAGGTCAGTCTGGGGCAGGAAGCACAGACTGCAACCCCCTTTCCCTCCCTCTGCACATCAGGACGCGGGCGCCAACTGTGTTGGACCAGAACTGCCGCCATTAAATTTCTTCCAGGCCACACTCAAATGCTGGAGGTGAGGCCCAGTTCATAGCTGTGGTTGCTAACATGCAGCATGCCTTGAAACTCCAGGGTCACCCTGTCCTGGATGTCCGCAGCTCAGGACGTTGCATCACCCCATCCCCTCTGTACCCAGGCGTGTTGGTCTCTCCCTTGCTCTCCTCGAGTAAAGGCAATGGCCACTCAGCTAGCGCCCCCTCCTCACTTTCCTGATGTGTGTTAGGTACGTAATGAGCTCCCCCCAAGTGTTTGTGCCTGTAGTATGCGTGGTGCTCACCAGCAGTGCAGCCTTAGGCTGCTCCACTCCTGAGTTTCTTCGTCTGTAAAACGGACACAAGGGTTGCAAGAAACAGAGACTGTGTGTGGATGTAAACATTAAGAAAATGCCAGCAATGACAGACCCTTGAGAACAGTTGTTAACATAACCATCTCAGTATGTGTCTCCCTCTGTATCCTGGTCTGTTTTGTCTGTCCGTCTTTCCCCCTTTCTCCATTTATCTCCTGTCTTTTTCAATGAATCCAAACATACACCTAAAGTACATTTTCATTATTTGCTGTATTTTTGAAGAGTTCTGATATCTATTTGCATCATGTTAATGACAACAAAACATTTTAGATGTTTCTTTCAACCAACAGTATATAACTTCCTATGCTGCAATCAGCTGATTCTTTATTGAGTGTTCCCCACCCCCCAGTGTTTTAATGGCCCTTAAGACAAGGCAGGTTCTCTACTCCTTAAGACCTGGTGTTCCATAGCCAGCTAACTGAATAGTTATATCCATTCACTTAACCAACATTTGCCTAAAGCCTCCTGGGTATACCACAATGGGAAACAATGCAGGCTGGCAGTCTGTAGCATAAGCCCCAGTGGCTGGCAAGAGGCAGCCCTCAGATGTCACATGAAGGGCATCTGGAGTGGGTGGGGTGCCTGGACGGAGTGGGATGGTAAATTAAAAATCAAGGGTGGCTTTGTGTTTGCATCTCACATGCAATAAAGCGGTGGTGTCACTTGACACTTCAGACCCCACTACCTTGGCCTTTATTTAGTAAACATGTTGTCATTCAAAAAGTACTCTCCAGGTTCCAGAGAAAGATCCCACAAGTCAGCCTTGAACAAGAAACAAGTTAAGGAGTGAGACCCCAGCCATGTGGCAATCAGAGAAAAAGGAAATGGATGTCAACCAAAGTGAAAGTCAGCAAACTGCTAAGAGAGGCATCCCAACCTGCGTTCTGGCCTGTCTCAGCACACCTGGTGACACTGAGAAACCAAGGCCCAGACCCACCAGGCTGGAGCTTGGAACTTCCCAGGCTGACACATCTGCAGAAGGCAGGGGGCAGCAGGGAGATGAGGGGTGATGGGGAGCCGGTGGCGGCATGGTGGAGCCGCTCACTGCAGCTGCCAGAGGAGAGGTTGGCGGACCCAGGAGGCAGGCACCTGGGGCATGAGAAGGGAGGGCTGGACTCTAGAAAAGGCTTGTCAGGAAAAGCGGGGAAATCCAGCATGGGACGGCCAACTCCCCAAGGCCTTGATAGCAGTGGTGGCCGAGCAGTCCCATGGGCCACTGTCCCTTCCTTCCACCCACGTGGCTTCAATGCAGCATTCTGGGTGTTTCCTATGGGTGTGTCCGCGGCTGCGAGGCCTTGGCAGCAGTTGCTTGGGGTCATTTTATCTGCTTTACAGCCAAGTCACCACAAAAGCAGCGGCACCGGTCCCCCAAGGTCATCTGAAATGGGCTGACATCCTAGGACTGCTCACTAGCTTTGGTGACAATAATGAAAATCTAGCCTAGCACTTCTTTTAGAAACAAGCCTCCCTGTTGGTGTCCTTCCAAGGGCTAAACATCTTCCAGTGTCTAAGCATCTCACACTCACGCCTCTGTTTCAGTGGACACCAAGGGTCCCAGCTTTCCAGGAGAAGAGGACAGTGGCTCGGAAGCCCGGGGCCAGGTGCCTTCACCTCCTGACCGCCAACTCCCATCTGACCACCCCTCAAAGAAAACGTCATTCTGACTGTTGTTCTCAGCCTTCCCCTCAGACTCCCTCTCAATTCTTCAAGCAACCCTAAACTCCAGAGACAAAGGCGCAGCTCACTGAGGCAGGGCTGTGGGGCCAGGAGGCCCAGGAACACCCCAGGCATGTTCTGGGGGCCCCAGCTTGGCCAAACTGGGAGGATCTGTGACTCCCGCCCATACAGGGCCAATGAGCCACCGCTTCAGGCAAGGCTGTTCTTCCCCTCCCCCCTGCGGGGAACAGGACAGGAGATGCTCTTAGTTCCTGATTTGCACTGCCTCTGTGTGCAGCTCCAAGGACTCTCTTGCTCGGGCTTCTGGGAGGAGCACTGTAGATCTAGGGCGGGGCTGTGCTGCCCTCTGTTCTGAAACTTGCTGTTCTGCTGGCTGCAAGGAGCTGGGAGGGCTGGAAGTGCAGAGGGCAGTGCCGCTCACCTTTCCATGATGTCCAGGCGCAGCTGGTGTCCGTGAGGCAAGGTAATGAGCTCCAGCCCTGAGCTCACACCCATGTTCCTCCTCGTCTCTTCGGAGACTTCGAGGATCCTAGCGACCTGTCAAAAGCCAAGGTGGAGCACGGGGGTCAGGAAGTGGGCCCGCCGGAACACACATGCTGCGTGACCCGCCACCAGGACAGTGTGGGGGCACATCACTGGCTGCATTTCCCCATGTGCAGGGACAGCTAGGATGTTTGGGACACTTTAACACATGTACTAGAGAAAGAAAGACTGGCGGAAACACCCGAAATGGGCTGCAGAGTCTGCAGAGTCTGCCCGGCCAGGGAACAGTTTAGTTCTTGGAGCTCTTGTCTGGCACGGGCTGGGCCCTGCTGCGACCTTTTGCTGCCAGCAGCAGGGCTGTGTGTGCACAGAGCCGGCCAGGTCCCCCACCATGGAGAAGCAAAGTCTCGCCCAAGCCCCCCTGCTGTGGGCTTGGCCATTCACATTCACTCACGCCGGCTGCCATTACCCTTAATTACGCCTTTCCTGGGTTCTATACGTCTGGAAACTATTAAAAATGTATACAGGGATTTGAAACCTGAGGTTTCAAACAAACAGTTCTTTCTCCTGAATGGTTTTAGAAGAAAATCTGTGTGTGTCTGTCCCAGTCAGCTCGCACCCCATCGCAAGTCTAGCACATAACCTCACAGTTTGTGGGAAACAGCCATGCATTACTACAAGCTACACAGAAATGTTACAACTGAATTGGTGTGTCCCTGAGTTGAGCCAGTGACACCTCACAGCACCTCAACAGGCCACAGGTGCGACCAGCAGAAGGACCAGTCTCCCTGCCTAGACACATGGCCGGCACGGGCCGTTCCCCTCCTCAGGCTGGTGGGCTTTTCCTCCACTGCCACAATCCCAGGCATGTGAACAATGCGGTTGTCTTCACAACAGGCCACGAGACATCTGGCTGTTCAGCTATCATTCCCTTAACTCTCATTCCTTTAACTTCTGAGGGAATGAACCTGTGCCACAACTCTCCAGGAGTGGATGCCAGAACAAGACACAGAATCCATACTGGGCTAGCCCTATGCTCTCTGGGCCTCACCTTCCCCTTGTCCAACCCAACTGTTAAGTTCATCTTTCTCAAGGCTTTTGCAAAGGCTTCAAATGACTTTAGAGACCCCAAAAGCCAGCTGAAAACACAAGTTGTAAATTCCCAGCCATGTGGAAAGGGAAGATCTGGCCAGATTTGCACTGTTGATGTGGCAGAAAGGGGGGTTGGTAGCAGTTAAAGGTATTTCCTTTTGAAAGGCAAGCTGCAAGCTTTAAAGACCCGCCAGGCACCAGGCAGGTTTTGCTTAAGAAAGGCCAAATGGCCAGAGACTGGCCATTTCATGGAAATGCAAAAGAGTAACTAATTCACAGACTTCTCCAAAACTCCTCTTCTGAAGTTGACAGTTTACAACCCTGCAGTTTCTGAAAACCATTTGTTCTTTGAAAAACCTGATTTTGCTGAGTACAACCTTGTAAGATTCCAAAGGAAATATACGTACTCACTCAACACGACCCCCTCCCTTACCTAAACAAGGGTATAAGACCCTACTTCTCCTGTTCTGGGGGCCTCGATTTGGACGCATTAGCTCCTCGAGCCCGCTGGGCTGGACAGCGTAATAAAGTGCCACTTCCTATAATAGTCTCGGTGTCATGATCTCTCTGTCTTCCCTCTACACTGTGACCCTGGCAGGGCAGCCGGGCACACACCTCACTTATTTAGACAGCTGCCCGCTGTTAGAGAATTCAAACCCCACATTGCTGAGGGCTGTCCTCCAATCCACGCATGTTCTGTGTGGCGAGATTGGAAGGTTGTCATCGATTCAGTTTTATTCTGGGAGATGGAGCCGGCACTGGCACTCCCTGCTCTGAGAGAGAAGCCTCTAGGTTGTTTTTCTTCAGCAGAACTGTGCCATCCTGGTCACCTTCCTGGGTCCGCATCTACTTGCCCCAGGGCTGAGCTATGGGACAAGTGGGTTCTGACCTCAAGTGGCCAAGCCTGAGTTCAGTCCTGGGATGGCCAAGACTGTGCCTCACTGACACAGAGGAAGGCTGAATGCTGTCTGGACTGTGTACTGAGAGCTGAACCCAGCAGGCAGGGTGGCCCTGGCACTGCCACGAGGCATTGCAGCCTCTCTCTGCCTTCCGAGTCTCAGTCCTGCAGGATCCTCAGGGATCTCCAGACTCTGCCTGTTCCTCCTTCTCCCACTGCCTCGGAGGCTACTGCCCTGGCCAGGAAGGCCCAGATGGGCTGGGCCTGGCTCTCATCCCAGCTGCCCGGGACCTTTCACGAGGTTGTCAGGCTTCGCTCACTGGTTCTGTTGCCCTCAGCACACAGGACTCGGATCTGCACCTGTGAAGAACTTTGAAGGCAGGAACCTGGGATGAGCCCAGACACAGACCCTGAGAAACACTGGAGGGAAGATCGGCCAGCCTTCCTGTCCCCCAGCCCCACCCTCCTCTACCCGCACCAAGTCTGCACGGGCAGGTGCCTGCTGCCTGCGAGATGCTTTCCGTGTCCACACGGAGGAACAACTCCATCTTCCAGCGCGTGGCAGGTGCCCCACCACCATCTCCCCCCCCCATTCCCCTCTCTGCCCGAGGCCCCGCTGCCCCTGGGCCCTTCGCCACAGAGCATTTCCCACTCAGGTGTGGGCCCCTCCCCACCCACCTGTCCTCTGGGGCAGAGATGCCAAGCTGGCCCAGCACACAGCAGGCACTCAATCGAGGCTGAACACGTAACACTAACAGACACTTAGCGCTCTCTCTACGTCAGGCTTTTCATATATCTCATCTACTCCTCAGTGTGCCTGGGTGGTTGGTGTTCACAGATTCCTTACGGCGGGGAGAAAAAGAGGCAGAGGAGGCCAAGTTCTCCACGAGGGGTCTCCTTCCACCTACAGAAAGGACAAGTGGGTGGGAAAATGGCCATCCTCATGTGAGGGCAGCACCCATGTGTGGTGGGAGGGGCTCAGGGCTCCTAACAGGGTGTCGGGGGTGGCTGGACACTGTGGGCAGGAGGCCTGGAGGGCTCGCAGGACCACACGCTACCTTGGTGGCCTTTCTGGATGTCTGCCTGTATGGGTGGGAACCCACGCTGCCCAGAGCCTGCTCTCAGCTCCGGGGTGGCCCTGCCTGGGCTGCCACTGCCCTTGGGTGAGAAACAACAGAATTTGTTTTATTTCCCTCTTAGAGACGCCTGTTGTGCCCGTTTGGAAGTCAGTGGTTCCAGAAAGAGAGCAGGAAAAAAGGTGGTGGACTTGAGAGAGAAGGAAGAAGGAAGACTAAACACAGCCCTGCCCGGAGCTGGTAGGCAGAGTCCAGGCTGGCTCCGGCTTAACTGCCCGCGGCAGACATGGGGCCCACTAGGACAAAGCGCACCACAGCAAGGAACATGCACAGATGGTTTGTTCTTCACTTGGGAACAGACTCAGCCTCCAGTTTCATGGCTCCCAGAGGTGGCAGGAGGGTTCCAGACCTTCTGCAAAGAGCAGGCAGGCATCTTTCCTTTCTCAGACTCTCATCAAGCCCTGCCCGAGGCTAAAGGAAGAAGGATTCCTTCTCCCTGGGATTGCACTGACCTGTATACCCAGGCCTGTGTTCTATAAAGAGCTTCTCCCATGGAGAGCCCAGGCGGGTTCCTGCCAGGCCAGAACCTCACTCCTGCCCTGTTAACAGGTCTGCTCTCAGATCCAGGGCCCAGTGTGGCTGACGTCCTAGACCAGAAACCTCCATCCTCTTCCCTCCCAGATGTGCTCAGCTCACCTTAAAGCGACTCATGATTTAACTCAGCAAATTATCTGACTACCTATGAGCACTGCCCAAGGACATCCGGCTAAATGTGTGGACACACCCTCATTCTTCCAATTCCTGGCTCTCTCCTCAGCGTCTGCCCAGCAGAAGGGACCACCCCCTACCTCCCCACCGAGCAGTGAGGTACACTGGTGACTGAGTCATCCCTCAAGTCCTGTTTCAGCAAGGGCCTTGTTTACTGCAAGGACGGCCGGCCACTGCCCAGTGATCCTCAGGCCTGCTTCAGGCATTACTCAGCCATGATTCATGACACAGGAAGGAAACCCCAATTCCTAAATAAGCCCTGACCTTTGAAGCTCATCGACTTCACTGAGCTACAAAACGGCTTCCAATGCCCAGGGACCAGCCTCTTCACAATGAGGGGTGGACGGAGCCCACGGCAGCCTGAGACACCTGCTGGCTAAATACAGTCAGCCCTCCTATCGGTGGGCTCTGTAACTGTGGATTCAACCAACCAAGGATGAAAAATATTCAGAGACAGACGTGCATTGGTACTGAACATGTAGACTTTTCTTCTTGTTGTTGTTCCCTAAACAAAACGAGGGCAGTATAACAGCTATTTACAAAGCATATACATTGTACCGGGTGTTATGAGTAACCTAGAGATGATTTAAAGGATACAGGGGGCTGTGCATAGGTCATATGCAAACACTATGCCATTTTATATCAGGGACTGGAGCAATCCTCGTGATTCTGAGAGGCAACTGTGTCTATTAAGGATGAGGCTGCTTTGGGACCACCTATGAACAAAAGCCACCTGCTTCCTATCTAAAAGGATGACGATGCAAACAGTTATTTAGTCACATGGAAACCCAGTCATGCTATGTTGTTCAATGAAAGATTCAGGTTTGAAACAGTATGAACAGACCAGTGCCATTTCTGTGGCAAGTAATATTATGCATGCAATATTCACATGTACCTATTTACAGAGCAAATGATAATGTAACATTTTTTTAACATACCACATGCTGACAATGGTGATCACCAGGATTTTGGATGATTTTTAATTCCATCTTTTCTTTTAATTTGCATTTTATAATTTTTATGAACCGAGCAAGTAATATTTTAGAAAAGGTAATTTTAAAGATGTTTGTTTATACTCAAGATCATTTTAGTAATGAAATCAATATATCATGTATATAAGTATAATGTATAATGAAATAAAAATAACCTTGAGCCGGGCTCGGTGGCTCAGCCTATAATCCTAGCACTTTGGGAGGCTGAGGTGAGTGGACTGCCTGAGCACATGGGTTCGAGACCCGCCTGGGCAACTTGGCGAGCCCTCATCTCTACAATAAATCAAAAATTAGCCGGGCGTGGTAGCGCGTGCCTGTAGTTCCAGCTACTCGGAAGGCTGAGGTGGAAGGATCGCCGGAGCCCAGTAGGTCGAGGCTGTGGTGGCCGGGAGCGGCCACTGCACTCCAGTCTGGGCGACAGAGTGAGACTCCAAATCAAAAAAAAAAAAAAAATCTTGGTTCCGTTCCCCCAGAAACCTCCTTTCTTCACAATCCACTCCCTTTGGCTCTGGCTTTACTAGCTCTGAGGAGTTGAGGCCAGGGGAGAGTTTTTCAATGAGCACCAGGAGGAAGAGGAGGATTCTGCAGTCACTGCTGATGGAGCAGGATTGGGTGGTGACAGGGCAGCCATCTGGCAGCAGCCTGCCATCCCTTGATCCAGGGTGAAGTTTACAAGCTTCCTGCCTGGGCAAAGGTTGTCCCGACTATGTTCCCACCCCTTAAGTCAATCCCCACACACCAGCGTTATCTTCATGCTTTTCCTATGAGCAATGCACTTTACAGCAAGACAGAGCGAGCCCCCTGCCCCCGGTTCCCTGCACTCCCCACCCTTCACAAGGCAGGACAAGATGGGCAGCTCTCACCTTGCAGTCCATGCTCAGCATGTGCTGGGCAATGACCTTGGGGTCGCAGCTGGTGAACAGCTCCTTTGTGCGTTTCAGCAGTGCTGTCTCCAGGGGCTTGTTCTCCGCAGGAAGGAGCTTTGACTGGAAGTCGTTGGGCCTGAATGAGGAGACGGTCTCCAGGAGGGGCGTCACAAACTCGTCTTGGTTCTCCTGCCCCTCGTCCATTGGAGCAGCCGGGGGCTCCCAAGGTGTTGCCCTGTCATCACCATCAAGGATCAAGTAGTTGATGCCAGAGTTCCGGGGACCTGGTGCCCCATTCTGCTTGGCTGGTAGCAGTTCCGTGTGGCCGCCCTGGGCACACATGGGCAGCCTGACCCCTCTGTCACAGCCTGCAGTGAAGGCTGGGTTCAGTTCACAGTAGTTGGCCTCTGAGTTCAGCCAGGTGGATGGAGACGCTGGAGTCTTAAGGAAGGGCACCTTGCAGGGCTTAGGGGGTGGCTTGGGGCACAGTTGGCTGTCTGATCCCCTCAGTGCCTCCCCTGCCCTGGCCTCTGAGGAGACCCTCCGGACCAACGCTGGGCTCAGGGTGGGCTCGCTGCCCGTCCTGAACACGGGTGAGTTTGGGCAGGGGCTTGTGTCCACACCGGGGGACTGAGGGGGGAGTTTACAGCCTGTGGAGGACAAGAAAATGTCAGCGAACCCTCTGCTGTGTGGAGAAGACAAGGGGAAACCAGCGCGACCTCCCCCAGTTCTCGCCCATGCCCTTGGGTTTCCATTCTCATTCCCCAAAGAAACTTGGTGTGACTGCCCACACCCAATCTCAGGCTTCCAGAACACTGTGAGGGCTGGGCTGGCCCCACCCCACACTCCTGGCGGTGCCCACAGCCGGGTACAATGTCACTTCATGGACACGGAAGGCGAATACACTGAACTTAAGGGACAGTGAACAACACCATCTTGCCCTGCGACAGAAGTCGTCGGCACAAGGCACAAGGACCCCAGCCAGCTTCTGGGGAGAGCCAGAGGCACCCAGAACAGAGCCACTGAGATAACCCACCCAAAAGCAGTTCCCACACAGGCGCTAGGGAACTCACTGTGTGTTCCAAGAAAGGTCAGTCTGGAAGATTAGGAAACACAAGCCCACGTCCTGCTAACATAACTGCTTCCTAGGTTCCCTCCCATACCTTACACTCTCCTGGCCTTGAAAGAAGAAAGAAGAAGAAAGGAGGGTCTGTCTTTCCCAGGTCTGCTCCGCTGAAACCTGGGGTCAACTCTTCCACCCTCTGCCCAGGGAGAGGACTGACTCATCTGTCATGACACCCACCCACGCTCAAGTAGGCTTGGAAGCAGAAAACCTAGGTTCAGATGCTGGGGGACTCTGGAGAAGTTACTTAACATCTCTGTGCCTCAGTGTCCTCAGCTGTGAAATGCGGATCAGGATGCCCACCCTGGAGGCTTTCTCTGAGGCTTCCAAGCTCGCATTCACAGAGTGTCATGCCTGGCCGTTTGCAAATGGGTATCACTCCGCAAGTCCCTTCCCCGCCGGGCTGCAGGCATGAAGCCTCAGTCACTTCCAGACGCAGTGACTAGATGGGGCTGGACAGTCACCTGAAGAAGTCAGGGTCACCCTGCCACCCTCCTGCCCCCGAGTCCCCTAAGACGTACCAATTGGCAGGAAGCTCTCCGACTGGTGGGCTTTGAGGGACACAGTTCTGCGGTCCTGCATGTGGTCCAGGCAGGCGGGCTGGCTACCGCTCTTTTCTTTATTTCTGAGGCAAAAGACACACGGGACAGAAACGTGTTGTTCAACTGTAAAACCTCCAGGCAACGTCATGGAAAGTCAAAAAAAGAAAGAAAACTGCCCAGAACGAGAGTGCTACAGATACCCCAACGGTAAAAGAATGTCAGCTGCGGGGGGGAATTACTAGCTGTGTACTCCAACCTCACCCCCATGCCCACGGCGGCTGAGTCTGAGGACGCCTCCCCTGAGCCCTCTGGCCTGAGATCCCTAGGGTGCCTCCCCTGAGCCCTCCATCCTCCTGAGCAGGGTAGGCAAAAAGCTTCACGACATCCTTGGGAAAGTCTGAGAACTGGAATGTGTACTTTTCACAGAGCCTAGAGGCACTTACAGACCCAGGGGCACGGCTCATTTAACTCACATGCATTCTCCACATGCTTCCCAGTGCAGGTAGGAAGGCAGCTGTGGGGTAGCCTCCATTTCAGCAAATCCCAGCATCCCCCAGACAATCTGCAGGACTGCCCGGGAGGCGCATCACACAGCCACCCGGGGACCTTCTCTAATTAGCAGCAAGCGCCAGACCCTCTCTTGATAGCGGAGAAGGTGCTACCCCAGCCAGGGTGTTGTGAACTTCAATTGGCCTTTCCACAAGCATGAAACAGTCTATGTTACAGAAATTGCAAAGTTCTTTCCTACCTTTGCAAGCACCAAAGAAAGATCAAACATTAAACAACAACAGAGTCCAGCAACCCCTTGGAGATAAGGCAAGACAGAGGGCAAATTCCAAAAAGAAATGGCTTCCGAGAGGTGATATTTAAGCAGTGACCACCGCGGTCAGACTCGGGCTAGAACAGCAGGGCGTGGAATGCAACCTGACTGGGAGCACACACCTTTGCCCAGAGCCGGCTGCCAGCCAGCCAACCGGAGGGCCCAACGTCAGGGAGGGCGGTGCCCAGCCAGCACTGACGTGGGGAGTCTCTGAAGGGCAGTGGGACAGGGCAACGGGCTATGGGGGCCATCGCTCCCTTCCCCCCATTTAGACATTTCTGGGCCTGCTGCCAGTGCAAAGCAGTGACAAGCCCAGGAAGCCCTGCATTCCAAAGGACAAACAGAAAAGTGGCTCTGTTAGGCCTGTCTTGTTGACTTACAGACTTTCTTAGTCTTTTTAAAAATTCCTTATCTTTAAAAATGTTATTTTATTTTTAACTTTTTAATTTTTTTGCAGAGATAGCATCTTGCTATGCTGTCCAGTTTGGTGTTGAATTCTTGGCCTCAAGTGATCCTCCCTTCTTGGTCTCCCAAAGTGCTAGGATTACAGGCATGAGCCACTGTGCCCTGCCAAAAAAGTAGTTCTTAAACCCAGATCACTGGGGGCAGACTAGGAGTCTCTTCTAGCATACTGAGTGGTGGTTCTGCTACATTGCCAAATATGCTCTCACTGTCCATGCCATCCACTTCCTGCTTTGAGGACTCAGTTGCCAGCCCCTACTTCCAAGGGAAACAGAGGAAAAGGTCCCCTTTCTAATGTTGTGAGGGATTTCAGGTCTGACCTTACTACTATGAATGGAGAATTCTAAATGTCAATCTTGCCTCCCTTACCACACCTGCCCAATTCACTCTCCTCCTGATGACCATCATGACCATTACCAATTACCTAGTGCCGCCCATGTTCTGCATTGTTCCGAGGGCTTTACATATGTTAAATCATTTAATCCTCAAAAGCCCCCTATTTCCAGTTGAAGAAACTGAGGCCAAGGAAGGTTCAATCGCCTGCCCAAGGCTGAACAGCTGGCCAGTGTGGAGTCTGCATTGGCATTCACTGCTGAGCCCACAGCCAGGTGCTAACCGCCATGTGCCAGAGCCTTTGGGCAGTACACAGACGTCACCTGTGTTAGGCATAGGGTCCTGCATTCTGCTTCTGAATTTCTGTGGTATAGAAACGACAGTTTATTGACTCAAAAACAGATAAACCAAACATCGCATGTTCTCACTCTTATGTGACTGTTTAGGTCACAAAGATGGAAACTTTGTGACATTGGGGACACTAATAAGGAGGGAGGGGGGACAAGGGTTAGGGTTCAGAAGCTATCTAAATGGAGGATTACATGCACAGTATGGGGAATGGGCCACCTGAAACCCAATTCCCATCACTACACCATATGTCCATGTAACAAATATACAGGCATACCCCTCAATCTAAAATTTAAATAAACAAATAAATAACAAATGACAATTTATGATATTTCCTCATGGTCCAGAGGAAAGTCAATGAGTGAAGTGAACACATGTGCTTTACGTGCCTAGGCTTAGAAGCCAGGAGCCGGAGAAGGACTGCTGGGCGGTCCGCATCCCCCACGCCTGCCTCTTCCCCTCTTTCCTTTCCTGGTGCAGTCAGATGACACGCACAGGGACTCTTACCCCATGAAAGACAGGTCCTACACATGTACAGGGCAACCTTGCTGATCTCTGACAGCAGGCACCTTGGCTCAGCCATGTTTTGAGGCCCTGGTTTTCTTCCCAGCTTTTGGAATTCCCCAAGGTTCACACCACAGCCTCCATGCTCCCTGTGCCTCCTAGCTCAGAAATCTCATCCGTTTTCACAGTCAGCCACCCATGTGGCACAGACCAAGCCCTGACTTAAGTCTTCAGCCCTAATCCCCATACTGGGCCCCAGAACCACGGCTGCACGCCAGCACCCAGCAAGCCACATCTCCATCTCAGATGGAAAAGCCTGTTTCCTCCAAAGTCCTCCCCCTACCCCATGGGGCCTGTGGTTCCCAACATGTTCTTCTCCAACCTCCCCACATGCAGGCGAGTCCTGGGGGGGCCTGGTCTTCCATCTCGTAATCCTCCCTCCTCCCTCTCACAGCCTGGACTGCCCCCCCCCAGCTCACTCACGGGCATCCTGGCTCTTCCCTCACTCCTTGCCCTGTGCTATCACTGCCTGGTTCTATTCTCAGGACCCTACACTCACTAGTCAAGTCTCTGCAGCTCCCTCAAAGCCCTTCACCTGGCACTAAGGCCTCTACTGTCAGGCAGGAGCCCCTCCCTAAGCCCACGGCTCCTGGTCCCTTGCGCAGACCCTTTGATCCAGCCCAGCCACTCACTCCCAGTTCTTCCTGCCCTTTTCCATCCCCACGTGTGTGCTTGTGTCTCCTTCCTGATGCACCCTCTCCTCTGTCCCCACTCCCCCAGCCTGCAGTCCAGTCCATATCCCAGCCCTTCATGGTCTCTCCTGCCAGCTGTCCTCTGCTCCACTCCACTCATCACTGCCACAGCTCAGGAGCTGACTGCACACTGCCCGCGACGGCTACTCCGCGACCAGCCGACATGCTTACTAGCATCTTCTGCGCCTCTGTTCCAGGGTGTGCCCCCAGAGCCTCCTCCCCCGCCCGACTGGTCCTCACACCACCTGTGGTGCTCTGACCCACCTGAGGAGGTTTCCTCTGGGCAAGTTCTGCTCTCGGGCCTGGCCGCTGCCCACGGTGAGGCTCAGCCTCTTGGCCACGTCCGGCCTCCCCTCGGCCCGGCCCGGGGAGGTGCCGTAGCGCTCCTCCAGGCACCGCAGGGGCACCGTCCTGTTGATGGGCTGGAAGATGATGGCACCGCTCTGCTGCGAGATGGGCCGGCGGTTACCCACATAGCAGCGCACCAGGCCCGGGATGGAGTCGAAGCTCTCCATCTCGAACTGGTACTGCACGCGGCTGTAGGCCTCACTGAGTCGCAGGACGGTCCGGCTGATCTTGAAGTGCTGGGCCAGGTTCTTCCACTGGCAGGTCAGGACGAAGTTTCCGGGGCTGGACAGAGAGTCTCGAACCAGGAAGTCGCCGTCTCGCTGTACGAGGTTTTCAGATACCTTGGGGACAAGACAGCGCATGAGGAGTAGAAAAGGCAAATGCACATCCCTTTCACAGCTTGCTGCTGTCCCCACCTTGGACCAACAACAGGCAATGCTATTCTGGCTTGTCTTCGGTCAGCTCTTTCGCTTCTCACAGGTCAGATTTGTAGACGACCCAATCATGCATTCAAAACAACTCCCTGGCCACCTACTCTGTGCCCAGCAGCCCTGCAGGCACTGGGGGCGTGGCAGTGACTGCAGCGGACAGAGCCTGTCTCATGGTACTACTGACCTCCATGGAGAGCTTCTGCAATTAGGCAGCAGCCACGTTATGTCAGACATTGTTAAGTCCAAGCAAAAGAGAACCAGGGGACAGGAATTGCAGGGGAGGGGATGCGGGCTGTCCTTTAAAATAGGGTGGTTAGCCCGGCGCGGTGGCTCAGCCTGTAATCCCAGCACCTTGGGAGGCTGAGGCAAGAGGACTGCCTGAGCCCAGGGGTTTGAAACCAGCCTGGGCAACTGGGTGAGATCTCGTCTCTACAATAAATCACAAAAACTAGCCGGGCGTGGTGGCATGCGCCTGTAGTTCCAGCTACTTGGAAGCCTGAGGCAGAAGGATCGCCTAAGCCCAGCAGGTCGAGGCTGTGGTGGCTGTGAGCGTGCCACTGTACTCCAGCCTGGGCAACAGAGTGAGACTCCAACTCAAAAAAAATAAAATAACAATAATAATAATAAAAAATAGAATGGTCAGGAAGGTCACCAGACTTGAAGAATGTAAAGCAACAGGAATTAAGAACAGACAAAGGTGTGAGTGGCAGGACTGACCTTCCCTCCCTAACTCATGGAGCAAGAAGGAAGGCATGTGTTGGTGTCTAGAAGTCATCCTTGAGACTGCTCCTGAGATGTCTCCTCCAGACCTGACCAGTGGGAGGACTGTGAAATCAGAGAGTGTGTGGATTCCAGACATACCAGTTACTGGCTGAGAAGTCTGGACCGGTCAGGCAGGGGGCCTCACCTCACAGTTATCACGAGGGTTCTATATTTGTTCACATAATAAATGCAAGCACTAGTTCAGTGCCTGGGACACAGCAGATGCTCAAAAATTGTCAAGTAGGATGACAGTGACATTGACAGCAAAAGGAGAGTTTATACTGCAGAGCAGCCTGGTTGCTCCCGTAGCCCGGCCCCCAGGGTTTGCACCCTGGCTCAGCTGCATGACTTTGGACAACTTATATAATCTCTTTATGGCTCAGTTACATCATCTGTAAAATGAGGATAATAATATTACCTACAGAGTGGCCATAGAGATTTAAGGTGGTAAAATGTTAGTTCTAACTGCTTTATTATGGCTGCCGTGTTCAGTTATCCAGGCTGGAATGACTTATTGCTGAAAACTTATACCCACGGCAATGGTAAACAAATCTTATGATCACAGTAAGGAGAAGGATGGTGGTGGCAGTCATCAGTTTTATAAACTTTGATAATTGTTCTGGAATAGTCCAACATTTGCTCAATGGTATGCTTCTGTTAGTTTAAAATAGTAGGCTACCACAGTTCCTTTAAAATGGTACCTTTGCCCTAAAAACATGTTTCCACACAGAAGTTCCATCCTTGGAATTGAGCCTGTGAAAATAATTATAGGTGTGAACATAGTAGTTATCTTAAAGTATGTTGGTCGGAGCATCAGAAACACCCTAAGTGTCCAATAAATTGTGGTGCATGCATGCAGTGGACATCATATAGCATCAGCTGGTGTGGAAGAATATTTTACAGATGCAAAAATTTCTGAGACATATTAAGTAAACAAAATGGGCTACAAAAAAGTCTATGTAGTATGGTCTCCTCATTGATTTAGAAAAGTCTGAGAGGACACACATATATCAAAGTGTTCCCAGTGGCTCTCTCCAGGAGAACTGTGGGTGATAATTTAATTTTCTCCTTTTTTGCTATGTTTTCTACAACCAATTCTAAACTTAAATAAACAAAGAATAAGAATTATTTCTCTGATTGTGCTGCGAAATCTGCTACGTTAAAAAAAATACACTATAGCCGGGCTCAGTGGCTCAGCCTGTAATCCTGGGCCTTTGGGAGGCTGAGGTGAGTGGATTGCCTGAGCCCGTGGGTATGAGACCCGCCTGGGCAGGCAAGCCCTCATCTCTACAATGAATCAAAAAATTAGCCAGGCGTGGTAGCGCGCGCCTGTAGTTCCAGCTACTTGGAAGGCTGAGGCGGAAGGATCGCCGGAGCCCAGCAGATCAAGGCTGTGGTGGCCGGGAGCGGCCACTGCATTCCAATCTGGGCGACAGAGTGAGACTCCAACTCAAAAAAACAAAACAAAACACTATGCTGTCCCCCACCTCCTGTGCCTACATTTCCTGTCATGTTGTCCTTGGTTAATGATTGGCTGGATCAGGTTTACAACAAAAACCCTAGGAAATTCTGTACCTCAGTTCTGCAGACTTATTCTACTTTTCAATTTTACAGTATTAAATAAAAAAAATCATTCATGGCAATCACCCAAGTGGCAATCACACGGAGTCCACCCTTGGCCATGAGCCTGTGGCCACAGGTATATATCCTCTCCTTCCCTGCTTCTGGGTCATCGCATCCAGCAGGGAAGGGATGGCAGAGGCGGCCTTGTGGGTTGCCCACAGCCCCGGGATGCCCTGCCTTCTCCGGCAGTTAAGCCACCGTCTTGGAAGCAGGGCAGATTCCAAGCAGCTGGAGGCCATGGGCAACTGGCCAAGAGTCCAATTACCTGAACCCCAGCTGGCCTCTGCGGTGAGGCAGCTCTTCAGGCTGCGCCCGTGGCTGCTGCCTCCTGCTGCCCCTGCAACTGCAGGAGCACCGGCTCCCCTCACTCTGCTCCTGGACACATGGAAAAATGTACTTTGGGTTCCCGATCTTAGATTTCCCAAGATCCCCTTAGAGACGTGTCGAAGTTAAGTCACTTTGTTTGTTTTTGGCTAAACCGGGGCCTCGGAGCAGGCCCTTGCAGGGTTGTCAGTCTGGACCATGCCCGAGAGCAGCGTACCTGTCGGGGGATGCGGCCATGGTACCAGGCGTGGCTGCGCAAGTCCTCGCTGCTCAGCAGCAGCTCCTCCTCCAGCTCCTTCTTCAGCCTCTCGGGGGTCCTGTCCGTCAGGTGCCTCTCCTTGGAGAACTGCAACACAGAGCCAATGGTGAGCTTGCCCTGCCCAGGCCGGGCAGCCGGCTGCAGGGGGCTGCCCCGCTTGCTGCTTGCTGCTTTGCTAAGCAGACTAATGCCTGCCAAGAGCTGTGTGCAGGTCGGGAGCCTGCGTAATGGTGACAATTAGCTGGGATCTTTCCTGTCTGCAGCTGAAAGTGTGAAATGAAATTTTCACCTGCACGTGGGGATTACGCTAGGAGAGTTCACCACACAGCTCCTCTGACCAGTCTGCTCCAGCAGCAGTGAGGCAGGAGGGGCCAGAGAGATGTGGGGACAGCGAGACATGGAGGCCAGGCTGCTTTCTTGTGGGGGAGCGTCCTCATTCTCCTTCAGAACGGTCTCATTGTGGAGCTGGGAAAGAAGGGCAGTTTGACATCCTGGCTTCTAGGGCAGCGAGGCCCAAAGTACAGTCCTTGGGCAGTAGCAGTGGCCCTGGACTCTTTGCTACTGGCAAACTCAAGTTCAGGAATTGAATTAGTCTTTGGAAACTTTTAGCGTAATTTTATGTCTCTTGAATATAATCATAAAAGTCTGAATTTGTATTTTGCATGTCTTTTTTTTTTTTTTTGAGTTGGAGTCTCACTCTGCTGCCCAGCTGGAGTGCAGTGGCATGCTCATGGCCACCACTGCATCAACCTGCTGAGCTTAGGCGATCCTTCTGCCTCAGCCTTCCAAATAGCTGGAACTACAGCCGGATGCCACCACACCCGGCTAGTTTTTGTGATTTACTGTAGAGACGAGGTCTCGCCAAGTTGCCCAGCCTGGTCTTGAACCCCCAGGCTCAGGCAAACCTCTTGCCTCGGCCTCCCAAAGTGCTGGGATTACAGGCTGAGCCACCGTGCCCAGCCTGCATGTCTTTTTTATTTCATTTTTCTAGTATGTCATTTTTATGACTGATTGGAAATGGAAGCTTGAATTATAAAATAACACTCATCCTTCATCTCAAGTGGTTTGAGGATCACTGGCCTAGGGTACTGCACCGTGGCCAGGCAGGGAGTGGGCAGCTCTGGCTGCAGGTCTGACTTAGAACCCATGCCCACTTACAAAGGTAAGTACAACACACAAGCTGAAACCTGGACACCTGCCCAGTTCCTATCAACACCAGGCACGGGTTCCGCTTGCTGAGGGTCACGTGAGCAGAACAAGGCTGGATCCCATGTTCTCCTAGTTCCTCAGTCTTCCTGCCAAACACCCACTGGAGCTATATTACTCCTTATCAGACCGCTTTACACCTCAGCAAGGAAAGATCTCTAAGTCCTTCTCCACCAAAGAAAACAAAAAACAGACTTTAGATTTGGGGGCTAGATTCTCACCCTCTGGTGTTTCTTTGCACATCAATCTATGCCGAGCCTATATCCTGTGTGTTACCAGTGAGAGGCGCTGGCTGAAGAATGGCTCAGGGCTGATTTCTAGGTGGGACTCCAACTTTCTGTCTATGTCTCCCTCCTTTCCTTCCCATCCCCTCTTCTCACTAGACAGGCTCTCGGAATGTCTGAAGAGTGCAATTTGCATCAAAGGGCTGCTGCTACTGGGAAGCCTGCGGGCTTGAGACAGGGATGCTTGACACTGTCTGTTCCCATCGTGAATATTGTACAGCGACATCTGAAGAGAGCGCCAGAATGGAATGCAAGCTGTCAACCAGGCCATGTATATTACTTGTTTACTGTCTGTCTTGCCTCCTACTAGACTGTAAGTTTCATGAAAACAGAAATCCATCTACCTTTTTTCCCCACTGCTCTGGAGCAATGTCTGAAAACATCAGGCACTCGGTATTTACTAAACAAGCAAATACCCCAGGATGAGGAAGGTCTATGCCTTTTCTCAGTTATGGACATTATCTTCTCTGACAAATTATCTCCTGTTTTCTCTGGGCATGTTGCCACGCAGCCAAAAAGACAATCTCCTCAATCTCTGTCTCTTTCAGGGAGATGTGGCCACATGAACAAGTTCTGACCAAGCAGGTGAGATGTGATGGCTGGGGCCTCCACACCACCCTGGACCATCAGAAGGAAACCACACCTAGGAATAGCAGAGCGGAAGGCCCGGATAAGGCGGGGTCCCTGACGACTGTGGGGCCAAAGCACTCTGGACCGTGGCCGCCAGGTCTTGCAGTGAGCATCTATGGATGGAAGCCTGTGGTTTGGATGCTCCTGTTGCAGGCTGCTGAGATGGAACCTAACCCACATGGTGACCCGAACCCTGATAGGAGGTTGATGCTGAGCCTAGACCCGGTGGGCTGCACCCTGGGCCCCCCTCTTAGGCTGAGCTCTGAAAACGAAGAGATCTGAAAACCTGCAGCAGGTCCTGTATAGTTTTTTGCCGAAAATGTACTCGCTCATATCCAAGAGCTATTTCCATATTTACCTATGCATCTTCCTTCCTCCTGGTGCCCCAACACTCAGTGGCTTCTCCCCTCTCCCCCACCCCATTCTCAGCCCTGCTCATAACAGCAAGGCTTTTAAAAAATTATTTTGGCATTTTATATGCATCAATCTTTCACTCCAGGTTTTGCGATCATACCGTTTTAAATGTGTAACCCAAAACATAAAATCCGCTCTCTTGTTACTTCTGTCCTCACTTTTTAGCGAAAAGGAGTAAACCCAGAATGCTTTCTCTTTCCCTCCACAGACTCTGGAGAGGGCGTGCTGGGGTACCATAGGAGACAGGGCAGTTCCTGGAGAGGAGAGAAGGGAGACGGACCCTTCTAAAGATGTTAGAATGAAAGACCAGACTTGAAAAAGTGTATCCTTAAGCCCTTGCATAATTTGGGAAAGCTTTGGAGGTAACACAGTTGCTGGGACTTGTATTTAAACGGGAAGGAGGGTAAGGTTGGGGGAGGGGTGAAGAGAGAGGGAGGAAGGGAGGGGATCAGAGGGAGCAAGCAACTGCAGAGCACTTTCCACAAGCCCACACTGAAAGGCCAGGCTTGCTGCGGGAGCCTGAGCCTCAGCGGGTGACGTGGGTAATGGCTCTACACAACAGAAAAAGGCAACTCAAAACAGTCACCACATATGGCCACCTCATCATCACACAGTGGTTACTTGGGGTGGATGCCTTCGAGAACTTTCACTATGCTTTAATCCTTATATCAAGACAACTTTATTATTTTCCCCAACAGCCTCTATTTTATGAGATCTTGACCACATCAACTATGATTCTACCACCACAGATAAGTACTTTGATGGGCTGCGAACCCCTTGGTTGGTAAGGGGTGACCATGTGGAAATTTTGGCAAAATGTATCCATTTGTATCTTTGAGAGTATTGTGACTGATACATGTGCTTCCTGGGGACCAGAAACAAGATTCCTGCTTCAAAGGACTGGTCCAACATTTGGCAGAATCTGGTTGGTCTCCACCCAACAACCTGAATTCCTGGTGACAGACCCTTCCATTTCTCTGCTACCCTGTGGGAGAAATTTTAATTTTTTCCCTGAAATGCAACCATTTCAGGTCTTGGCTACGAAGCAAATTCTAACAATTTAAGGTAACACAATAGTCCTCTGTCCTCAGCAAAGGTTTCATTCCATTTGTGTGGCTACCAGTATCCTCTGATTGATCTAATTTTTTTTTTTTTTTTTTTGAGTTGGAGTCTCACTCTGTCGCCCAGACTGGAGTGCAGTGACCGCTCCCAGCCACTGCAGCCTCAACCTGCTGGGCTCCGGCGATCCTTCCGCCTCAGCCTTCCAAGTAGCCAGAATTACAGGCATGCGCTACCACGCCTGGCTGATTTTTTGATTTATTGTAGAGATGAGGTCTCACTGCCCAGGTCTCGAACCCGCAGGCTCAGGCAATCCACTCACCTCAGCCTCCCAAAGGCGCGGGATTACAGGCTGAGCCACAGAGCTGGCAATTGATCTAAATTTGAATAGATTTTGTTAGTGCCCTAAGAATCCTCTTGCCCTTCCTTGGACTACATTTCTGAGGAGACGGTAGAAGAGGTAAGTACTTTATTGACTGGCAGAGCATTCACATGCATTGTTATTATTTGCATAGCCCAGGATAATGCAAGAGAAGAAATAGGACAAGGTGTCAGGCCCAGCATCCCTACTACTTCGAATCTTGGGATCCTAGCCCCTCCACACTCTTTTCCTAGCTCGCATCTTCCAGTTCTCTCACACTTGTTTTCTGTAGACGTCCTCTGACTTCAACGTGCCTCAAAACTGACTGGGCCCAAGTCATCCCCAATCCCTCTGCCAGCACGGGATGGCAGGCATTCTGACACCCGGAATGAGGAACACAGCTGTGCCCTCTTGGAGAGTTGACACAGAATGCTCAGTGGCCCTTGGGACTGTATGTTCTTCAACTGCCAGGCAGGAAACAGCAAGGAAACTCTTGAATAATCAATGTCTCACACAAATGCTATAAGCGTTAGTAATAACGACATTATCTAGTAATACCACCTTTCCTCCAAGATCCAATTCTCTCTTTGCCCCTGAACTTGAACCTCATGCCTAGAAGGCATGTGATCCCTTGTTTCCCCAGCTTCTGCTCTCTAGGGGAAGAGGGTGGCACCAGCAGAGAAGGAGGGGAGCAGAGTTAGGTCTTGCTGCCTCTGCCTGGGCTTCAGCCACCCTGAGCTCACCCACATGGCAACTGTGGGCGCGACCTCCGGAGGAAGGGATCTGCTCAGCTTTGGATCAAGAACATTCTGCCTGCAAGTCTTGCCAGCTTCATTCCAGGGACCAGATCCACCCACGACCACTATGAGACAAAGACTCAGACCGGGCCCATAGGCTTGAGCCACCTGAAACTTGAGAGTAGTTCTTTTGATGCTGGGCAGAGTGATTCAAAAGAGGTGTCACATACCCTGGAACATAAACTAAATAATAAGTCTATCTTGAGCAGGAGAGAAAGAAAAGGAGGGAGGAAGGGTTAATAACGCCTGCATCATGGCCACCCACTCACATGGCTCCACTTCTCAAATTCCATCTCAGTCCTAGTTTTGAGCAATAGGGTCTGAGATGAGATACGA